TCTTTCTTAAATTGTTCTTCTTCTTTTGAAATTATTACTTTACTAGCGACTTGGCATAAAATATATTTTTTGGGGATTTACATTGCTAACACTGGCTAAAACTTACGAGATATATCAAAATAATGTACTAGATAATTGTAGGTTTTAAAAGGCCTATAGTAAAAGTCCGTGATAGCAGGTCTACTTGCTAAGGTACGCTCACAATAATTATTTTTATCTATACGTAAACGTACCTAGGGACACACCCAAGCGAAGGGAGGGTAAGTCGCTAGTTATTAATAAAGTATTATGAACTGTCCAAAATCAGTACTATCATAGTCTACTAAACCGAGTAGTCGTCCAAGTAGTCATCTAATGAAGGACTATCTTGACATGGACATTCTAACAGAGCGTGCGAGGTAAAATGCAAATGACGTGATATTGACAAATGACATATGTATACCGTGATACTGATGTTAGGGTAACTTGCGACAAAATGGTTTCTTTATCGACTACCGTGCTTTAACTTGGAAACCGTTCTCAAAAAAAAATGATATTTTTGACAACCCTTGCGTTTAGCAGCATTTCCGTTATGATCAATGGGATGGCCTACTGTATGGACTTTTACATTAAGTGGTACTATTATAAAGCATAACATTATTGAGAGTAGTATGGGTTACATCTTACAAGTCAAACACAAAACGACGTGCAAATATTTAATTGACAACAAACAAATTCATGTATCTCAAATTGACATTAATTTATACGAAAACATTTATGATTCAAGCTTTGTCATGGCGGGATTTTCTGCCATTTTCTTCTTATCGGCCATTAAAAAGACCATAGAAAAGATGTGTCAGAAGGCGAAATTATAAGGTCAAAAGGTTATAATCCAAAGTTTTAATATAGTTGATTCAATATAATGTTTTAATAATGCATCTGACATGTTCTTTTTAATAGGCGATATTGGTAAAAGGCAATGAAAAATAGTTACAGTAGGTAATTTAAAATTTTCTTATTTTTACAAAAATGTCCTAATAGGCCGTTAATTAAAATAAACAATATATTACCTACATACACTATCAACTACTGTCATGGTATTAAAAAAATAAACTTTGATTAAGCAAACTAAATAAATTTTAACATTGTACATATGTTATATCTTGTAATTTATAAAATTATTTACTAACACCGTTAATTTGTAATTGATATGATACACAAAACTTCTTGGGCTATCGCATGTCTGCGTGATAAAGGCCTATACACACGAGGACTTTTTAACGCACTGTTGACGTATTCGACGCGCGTTTGTTGCACATCTGTATCGATATGAACGCCAGAAATCTGTATTATTTAAATTTATCAGCACAGATGCTACGCAGAGGACGTACGTTCATGGCACGCGTGTCGTGAGCGCGTTTATGAAACGTGTGCATCGGCCCTTATTACCACTTTTGCTGTCAACTACATATTGTCAAATTGGTGGTAAGTACTTCACAATTTATATATACATATAAATATGTATCACACTATTATACTGTACTATATTGTTTTTGTAACTTTAATGATCATTTAAAGTTATATGCCCAAGAGTATTGATTTACATCACAAATCTAACTAATTACATGTTGGTTGGCATCATGATCTAATTTCCACTCGTGTCATTACAATTTTTAGTTGACAGCGATTTTTTATGTTATAATTTATTTCTGTTAGTTACAAAAAAAATGGTCTATAGCTCCACTTGATCACATTTAAATCTGATAAGTAAAAAATATAAAAAATTATTAAAATTACATATTGTGTGGTTATGGCAATTGGAATGTATTATTAATTAAGTACCATATTATAGGAACTTATACTCTTGTTATTACAGAAGTTAAAATTTAGATTTATTTTTAAAACAGAAAAGATCTCATATTTCTGCCATTCATCCTTTAGGATTTTAATTAAAAGTTATTAAGTTACATCATAATGGTATTAACAAAATATCTTAGAAAGAAAAAAACTTAAAATATTTTTTTTTTCAATACATAATAGATTAAATTACCTCGATCGATATACACTAAAAATACTTACAATTATACAGACAATACGTAAAACTTACAGGAATTAACCTTATTTTTTATTTTATAATTTATTTTTAAATCTATACTGGTCTAAGGTTGATATAGGCACATCAAAATTTGCATTAATACCAATGGAAAACTACATATATATTTTATATAGTTTTTTTTTCATATACATTTATTATTATTATATAAACAGACAGATATTACGTAAAAAAAAATAAAAAAAGTATGATTATTTATATTAAAATAGCAGTTATTTGATATTTCTCTTGCTTTACATATTTTTTCTAATTAACAATTGGAAAAAATAATTATAATAAATTTAAAATAAATAAGTATAGTTACGCAAATACATAATTTATAAATAATAGGCCGCTTACCAAAATGTATACATAATAATTAATATATTGCACGTGTTGTCATTTCTTCATACATACATTTTTAACACCATCAACATTTACATACTTGTGACATTTTAAATAAAACTATATTTTTGGATTTTTTCGCGGATTTATTTTGATTTTTGTTTCCCGACCATGGAATCAAAAATCAAAATAAATCCGCGAAAAATTCCGACAAGATAATTTTATTTAAAATGTCAAATATTCGCGTAAATCTAAGATATTATTATTGTGATATTCGTTTTAAATTATTATTTTTTTACAAACATTATAAACATATTATTTGTTATCAGTATTTTTATTATATTTATAACAATTGCGTTATATTTTACTTTAGTATTTAATTAACGTATCCTTTTAAGTATATTATGTAAATTTTGGCAGTAATTTTTTCAGTTACGATAAGTTTATTTTTTATTACAATATAAAATCATTTTTTTATTCAAATTTGTGTTTTTTAAATAAAACTATTTTTACATTTTTTTTGTGGATTTACATTGATTGATTTTTGGTTCCCAACATTTCAAATGCTTTAAACATCGATCAAAAAAGTACTTTTTTCATCGATGCCCTTACAGTAATCATTGTCAAGCGAGAGTTTCCATGATCAGGAAAAACATCCGAAAAAACAGTTTTATTTAAAACTAGCAATGCCCGCGGCTCTTCCCGCATTCAGATGACCAAAACTAAATTCTTAGGTTTTACATATTAGTAACTCTTACATTGCAGTTTTTGTATTTTTTCTTAGAAATGAGATATATTCCCGCGGTAAAAAGTATCCTATATGTTGACCCAGATAACCAGCTATCACCATACCAAATTTCATCAAAATCCCTCCAGTGGTTTTTCTGTGATGCGGTAACAGACAGACAGACAGACAAAAATTCAAAAAACTATAGATTCGGTCTCTATATCGATAATAATGTGTATTTCAATAAGATTTTCCAAAAAATATTTAATGTACAGATTCGGCTTAATTAAAATTTTATTATATGTATAGATGTCAAAAATTCGCGTTAGTCAAGATAATATTAAATTTGTGTAGTAACACACATCATAATTTTGTATGGATGATGAGGCTATAATTATAATTTTGACTATTAAATGTAGTTTTCTATTATATTTTTTAGATAGTCTGTCCTTTAGATCTGATTGTTACATAATTGATGATAAACAAAACTTTATTTAGTGAAAATTAAAAATGCCTACAATTTTCATAAGCTTTAGTCTAATTCTCCATATAAAAAGGTATGAAGACTTGCTGGTGTACAATTTATGACAAATGTTAATATAATGAATAAAGTAATGCCATAAATTCATTGTCCTTTTCATTTTTATTATTTTATATTGAGCAACTATTGTTACATATAATAATTCTAAAATAATTATTTTTAGGCCATCAAATTTTACCATAATATTAAGCTAACAAAATGAATGAATGAAATGAGGTTTGAAAGCAACAGATACTGTATTTTCACATTTGGTAAGCCAATGTTTTACTAATAGGGAATATGCGTTTTTTTTATACAATAACTAACATCGTTATATAATTATATAAAATATCCAGATCCATAAACCTAAAATTTAGTATAAAAAAGATTTTAACATACCGATACGGATCTTTTAAACGCCCGCCATTTTGAGTGCTTGATGATATACACAGAAAAATTACGACTCAATTTGTAGAGACAAAAACGCTAATCGCTCTGTTATGACATCATATTCGGTCTGACCAATGGCGTGCGTTTCAACTATGTGTATTATATTTGCGGTGGTTTATTTTTTATTTTTTTATTTAAAAAAAAAATAACTAAAAATAACTTTAGCTAGATAAAAAAAACAGAAATTGTCATTCAAGCTAATATCTTCTATTTAATTCGATTGTTATTTTTAATTAATTTTAATACACTTGTGTTGTCCATTGAACCTGGAAAATGAATCATAATTTAGCTATAAGAATAATTATTATTTAATGAAATATACACCGATTTCAAAGAATTCCACTTTTAAAGGTGAATTTTAAGGTAAAACTATCAATAAAATAAAAAAAAATCGGTTCATAATTGATAAAGATATCGCGGTCTTTTAAATTTTTAAATGTCAGTTACTTAAAAAATTGTAAATATTATGAGCGAGTTCTGCGATATAGACAGATATAGGTGAGGGCAAAGTTAAATTAATTTTGAGGTGACATTAAATCATCATTTTTTCGCACCTCAAAAACCCGTTTTATTGCGTTTTTAATATTAAAGGTAAAATTAGGCGATACTTAATATAATAATATTAAATGTAGAATTTATTAATTTATAAATTTTGTATTCAGATAAGATTTTGCTTTTCAAAATCTACATCGGTATCTTTTCTGAAATAAACGCAATTTTTTACTCCTTATCCTGAAAAACACAAATCTACAAAAGGCCGAGCAAAGCTCGGTCGCCTAGATACTGATAATGAAACGATCAAGTTGTCAGAAAAAAAAAGTTTGTTTAGTCAGTGGCCAAAGTTACAACACTTGTTCAAAGTTACCTAGAATTACTGTACTTGTTCACTTATTTTCAGCATAATACTGATGTGCTAGATCGAGTAATTCCCGTCGCAGCTGTAAAGCTTGCGCGCGCAGGTGCTGCTCCCTGGTGCGGATCACTCTGTACTGCTCCTCTCTCTCCTCTGTACGATGCTGCACCAGCCAGCGGAGGTATAGCTCTGGAATTATTATCGTATTGTGTTTATTGGACGACACGTTTGGTTCAGTTTGTAATGACCCTACTTGCTGTGCCTTAGATAAAATTATTAAGAATACCTACTACAAGTGTTCATCACAGATTGAAAAAAATATATTTTCATATACACATATTATTTCAGTTGACAGACGGGTTACAATGGATTGATATATCAGTTGACATACGAATTAAAATTAATAGAACCTGTTCTTTTGTTACTTACCAACAAAAATGGATAATCCTGCAAATCACAGATAAACACTTCCACATATAAAAACACATTAACATACCTTCCCATATGACATAGCTCATGGGGGCTACGGATGGCCATATGACAGTGGGCGTGGGGTCGTACAGGGGGTTGATGTAGGCGGTAAGCTCGTCGGGCTGATTGAGCCACGACCAGATACTCGTGGTCTGCTCGTACACGCTGCGGGTGGCGCGCTCCTGGTCACTGTCGCACAGGAATGTGCCTGGATGGAATAATATTATATTGGTAAGACGAGATAAGTATATATGCTATAAGATTTTTTTTTCTCTTAGGAGAAATTAAGTTTTATAAAGTGTCAAAAGACATTTTTTTAAAGAAGGTTTCTATCCAAACAATTATATTATATTATTATTATTCATGCATAACATATTTTATTAAAATAAAAAGCTTATACAACGTTACTATTAGTAATTTAAAGTATTAAGAGCTAGTGTTGTTAATTTAAAGGTTAAAAATGCAATTTCAAGCACTTCCGACACCTGTGGAATAGACATAGACGCTTAAACACACCTAAAAAGTAAAAGAATGCAGCTAATTTCATCATGTCGCTTTTTGGCTGTCGGTGTGCGCGCGCACCGTAAAAATTTAACTCTCATATTTTTTCCAAACGTGCCAAAAGAAATATAACTTCAAAAATAACTAAATTAAATAAATATAACATAAATAAATAACATAACAGACAATTTAAAACCACACTTACCAAACTGACTAGCATACGCATGTTCAAACAAAACGATCAAGAAGCTCTGCCTATATTCGAAGCTGCAGGGGAACTGCTCCAGGAATTGCCGCACGCAGTCCAAGAACAGGGGAAAAGTTGGGGCTGCCCTCGCCTGCGATGAGGAGTAGGGCCCTGAGCGGAGACGGGAGCCGAACGGATGACCCGCTTGGAGCCATTCACGTTCTATTAGGGCTTGAAGACTGTAAATAAAAAAAAAAACAAAAAAACAATTAAATTTACTAAAATATATTTCGATAATTTATCTTCTCCTTCCATATTTTCGTCAAATTGTTTCACTCTTTAGTTACACAATTAGAAGTAAATAGATTGCCAACTTACCAGTACTTATTATTACTTATTATCAGTAGGTAAATAGACTGCCAATATTTGATAAATAATTTAATAAGTTACAAGTGTAACTAATTAATAACATTTTAACCGGTTAACGATAGCTCACTGAGACCAACCAATTGTGCAAGGCATATTAATTTAGTACAAAAGTGTTTGCACAGACACAGGTGGACTCTCTATTCCGCTAACTTTCACATTTTGATGGATCAACAACTGGATATGACCAGTGAGAAAAACAGTTTAATGTGCTCTCCGAGGTATGGAGCCCATGTATACGGCTTACGTCTATCTATAGACAACTAAAGAGTATTTCTCCACAGCAAAATCCAATAGCCATTTTGGCTCCCGCCCAGATCTCGAAACCAGGACCTTATGAGCCGCCGTACACGCTTGGGCATAAGCATCGTGGTCAAGCGGCTAAGGCTCAAGATTGATAATCACAGTTGGATTCAAATGCCGGTCGGACACAAAGTTTTTACTTTTGTTTTTTTTTGTATTGATTGAAGTTTTTAATTCTTTTTTGTTTTGAAACCAAATTAAAAAGAAAATTGCACTTTCTGCGAAAAAATCCGAGCGAAGCTCGGTCGCTCAGGTCCTATAATAAATATGAAGAAACAAGAAGATAGAAAACTGACCAGAATGACAATAAAGGTTAATAAAAAATTTATGCATTATTACCCTCTAATCGTCCGGCAGTCTGGATTTAAAATAATTTGTACTAAAGAACAAACTAATAACGTCGCATCCTCTCCACGCGTTCCATGAATGAGGACTGGTTCAGCCTTCTGAAATAATTTAAAATTAACAATCAAATACTATATCATTAATTGTAGTTATTTCAACTAACTTTATTCTAAAACTTCTTATATTAATAGTATTATTTTGTAAAAAATAATACTATATGATTAAAGTTAATTAGTTACAGAACAATAGCAAATACATATTAACTAATTAATTAGTATGGTATATTATATTGTATATTATATTATATTCTATATTTATAGCAGTTATATATTACAGAAAAGATGGACACTGACCTATTGTCATTGAATAAACTTACAGGAATTAAATAAAACTTTACAGCTTAAGTATTCAGCTCTTTTTAACGTGCCACTGCTGGGCTCGGGCCTCCCTTCAATACGAGGGGGATCAGGCCATAGTCCACCACGCTGGCCAAGTACGGGTTGGCGGACTTCATATGTCTTTCGAAAACTTGCTAGGTTCTCTCAGATATGCAGGTTTATTCACGATGTTTCCCTTCATCGTAAGATAAGTGGTAACCATGGTGAAAATGGTACAAAACCCAGGATTTTAACCCACTTCACTCGGTTTCCCAAGAGTGCGCGTTACCACTGGGCTACCACTGCCTTAAAGATACTTTAACAATTTAATAAAATATCAATCAAATCAAATATTTTTTTAATGATATAATTAAAAAATATGAATAGTGTACTTTAATACTTTTAATCAGAATAAAACTATGGTATCAATAAATCATATCAAATTCATCTACTATAAATAAAATATGATGTATAACTTATATATCTTTAAATAAATATTTAATCTGATACAAGCACATAATGATACTATTTCTCACTTCCTTGTGTTAGCTGCAAGATATAAAAATAAATGACATCGGTATTGTTTTTAAATTTCATGACTAAATTTTAATATAACTAGTGACTCACCCTCGTTTCGCTCGGGTTCGTCCCTAGGTATGTGATAATTTTTGAGCGGAACCCTTATTCTTTTTCTAAAATAAAAGTAGCGTATGTTACTCCCTATAACATCAGCTATCTTCCATTGAAAGCCCCGTCAAAATCAGTCCAGCCATTTCAGAGATTATCCGGAACAAACACACAGACAGACAAAAATTTTAAAATAATTTCATATACATTTAGTAAAATGCTGTTATTTTGACATTATAAACAGACACTACAATTTTATTTATCTGTATAGATTATGAGTTTCTCTAGCTAATAACAGTATTTTATATTACTAATACTTTTATAATATCACATATGATTACTTGGTGTATATGTTGTGCAACAATGCAGGCAGTGTGTAATGCATTCCTGACTGACTCCGGCCATCCACATGACTCCAATCTCGATATCCACTTGTCGGACGATATGTCACGATCCACACAAGCTGAAATGTAACATTCATTTCATTTTAATCAGTGAATGTTTTGAAGAATAAACAAATAGACAAACAAGCACATTTCTCATTTACATTTATAATATTAATTATTTATAGAAGTATTTATTAGATATGGAGTTGAAAATACCTAAAGTTGTACTTTATTCAAATTTACCATCTCTTTGGGAGTTAAAATAACTGTTTTATTCATTAACTATGTCATTGCAGAAATATGCCATCGGAATTTTGGACCTTTACATGCAATACTTTGTTTTCAGTGTTAGTAATACACTCGGAATAAGGAGCTTTATATACATATAGATAACTAGGATTCTGTCTGGATATCAGATTGCTTATTTCTCAATTTTACATCTAAACAACATATATAAATATTATATCTCATACAAACATTGTCACTTCTATTTACCCCTTTTAAAAAAAACTTATATTTAAAAATTAAATATACACCTTTCTTAAGAGGCAACTATGTAATATAAATACGAATACACTGTCAAAATTTCAGCACTTTTGTCTAGCAAATTTATTTAACCGTTGATATAAGTAGAAGCAGTTTCATATATAAGCTAGCAGCTCAACCTAGCATCGCTCGGGTTCGTTCCTATGTACGTTTTAATGGTTAATAAGACCTAAGGAGTAGATAGACTATATATTTTATGTTATATAGCCTTCCTTAATAAACAGGTTATCTAAAGCAAAAAGAATTTCAAAGGAGATTAGGGATTTCCTGAGATTAGTGCATTTAAACATACAAACATACTCTTCCTCTTTATAATTTTATAGCATAGATTAATATATCAAAAAGTAAAACATATGTACCTTCAATAAGTTTAGAAAAATTTTCCAAGAGTTGTTGCTGATTATCAACTTCATCCATTGACCTGTTATATATTTTCCACTGAGAGTAATTAGCGGCACTCTCAGTTCCTCCCCCTAAGAACATACAAAGTGGGTGAGACTATTATTTAATGTTTAGTATAGATTTCTCAGATGTGAAATATTTTCCCGTAGTAAATAAGTATCCTAAATGTTGACCCGGATAACCAGCTATAACCATACCAAATTTCATCAAAATCTGTTGAGTAGTTTTCTCGTGATGCGGTCACAGACAGACAGACAAAAATTCTAAAAACAATAGATTCGGCCTCTATCGATAATAATGACTATTTCAATAAATTAAAAAAAAAATTTACAAAGCATATAGTAAATAATCACATTCTAGTTATCTACACTTTAGAAACAGAAAGGAATTTATCTATATAATAAGGATATAATACATTTGTTTTTTTTTATAATAACAAACAAGAACTTATTAGATGTGCTTGCATAGAAAAGAGATAATATAAAAAAGTAAGTTTATTATTATAAAGATTATAATTTTTCTTAAAAATTGTTTACAATAAAAATCATATGGACGGATTAAAAACTATATGGATGTTAGTTTGAGATATGGGTTGTAGGAGAATGGAAAGAACAAGCTGAAAGAAAGTGATAAATAATGCGAATTCTTATAGTCAAAACTCAAAAACGGAAAAGGAAAATGATAAATATATCTTTTAACTGTAAAAGTTTGATAAGGAGATAAAAAAGCCTTTTATTTAAAGAAGTAAAGTTTTAGGTGTCTAATAGCCTCTTAAATTATTTATAACAATTTGTGTTATTTATTTATTATTTTATATAATAATGGCTTATAAAAAATATTTTTTAATATTTATATATATATATTTATTTTTTATTATTTTTTAATATACCTTTATTTTGTTGTTGTGATATAGAATTTGTACTTCGCAAGTCATAAATAACACCTTTCATCCCAACATTGACTACAGTATTTAAAATTGCCTCATCTGGTCGACAACGGCGATGTTTTGGTCCATATAATGGCTGTCCTGCTCTTAAAAGCACAGCCTGCAATAAATATAAAGCAAATATTATTCTAAACAATGTAGAATGTTTATTCTCATATAATATAGTAATTGAATATCACATATCATATTTAGTACACTAGGCTATAATTGAATAGCTCTTTTTCAGATATAATATTTAAAAAAAATACTTACACCATTATTATGTCTATAGGACAGCACAGGAAACCTTCCTCCTTGTCTGAAAGAGGCAGCAGCAGCTAATGTTTCATCATCTATTCTCTTAGGAACAACTACAGCCTTACCATAAGCCGGGCATACTGTATAATGTTGATTGACTCTTGAGATTCGCCATTCTTCTGTTGCTAGAACTTTTGTGAACTCCCCTTCAATACTAAAAATATTTATAAAGATTAATTAAATGAAGTCAGAAAGGACATGTGTATAGATTATTACTATAAAATGATATTACTTTAACTGATTTCATATTTTTTAATTTGAGTTTTCTTATCATAAAAAAGTTAAATAAAGCAATGATTTTTCTTACCTGTACAATGTATATCCATTTTCCATAATAGGATGCATATGTCTATAAAAGAATGGATAGAAAAGGCTTGGATCTTGTATACTAGAAAGATTTTCTAGGGTTTGTGTTACTAGATTTAGTTCCGTTGTATTGCTGATGTCTAGTTGGAATATTCTGAGATCCTTGCATTTCAAAAAGAGAGATCCCCCTTGAACTATACCACCACTTACTTTATTTTCTTTCTTTTCTATATAGTCTATATTTTTGTGTAAAAGCTGTAAATTTTAATAATACTAAATAATTTATTGTTTTATCAAGTTTTCTTTATTGTTAAATATAAAACCTACAATGTATATGAATAAAATGTAAGGAATCTATTTATTACTTTAATTATTTTAATATTAATCATACCCATAATTCTCTAACGCCTTCTTTTCTGGAACTTAAAATTAAGTGGTGTCCAGTGATGCAGACTGTGCCATCCACGTTGTCATGATGAGGGTACTTTAAGATAACGCCATCTAATTTGTTAATAAGTATAAGCTCAATAAATTCCATTAGACCGAATTTCAATTACCTATCTCGCTAGAATTATTGTTTTCAGTTTTTGCATTATTTACTGCCAAGTTGACATTTCAATTTGCACTTGGTCTAGGTCAAATGTCAGTTTACAGCTGCTGCTGTAGAGCCTCAGCATCTGAAATCTGAATTCTGATCTAAAGCCCTTTTCCTTTTATTCCTATCAATAAATAAATTAAATTAAAAAATAGTACATATATGTATTAACATTGTAAATATAAATTAATAAAAATATAGTAGGATAAAATCATTAAAATGTTGCAATATATTAAAATGACAATATAAAATAAGTGGCAGTGGCACTGGCAAGTGGCTTCTCATTTTTATCTTTTCTCTATTTTATATCTGTAGCGAGTATAAACTACATTTGAAAGAGATGGAATGAGCTTAAGTTACTGTTTAACAAAAGAGATGGGAGATTTTAATTTTGGTGTAAATGAAAGGAATGCAAATACGTTTCATCGTACGAACTACGACGTGATCGAGAGCTCCATCTGTACGTTAACCAATAATACTAAAGATAGAAAGACATACTAGGATGTAGTGAACGACAGTTTTGCTATAGCAATGTGTGAATTGTTTAGTTCGTTGTAATATTTTTGGCTAGACTTATTACATTGGTGACTTTAATGGACAGACAAAAGCTTGTATAAGATAACAACAACTATATACTAATAAACTTACTGATTATAACGAAAGGAATCAGCGAAACGTGCGGTAAGTTTCTGCATGAATTTGTATGATTGTATTGAAAGTAGGTAGGTAAGTAGCTGGCTGGATTGTTGAGCTTGGGTAATGACCGGTCCCAATTTTTAAATGTTTATTGTTGATACGTCACTTAATAAAATTGTTTGTTGTCAATGTTTTCATTCAACTTCATAGACTTAAATTTTAATATTAAATATTTTTTATTCAGAAAATGGAGGAGAATTCTGATCTTCATATGGAGACGGACGTGTCTTCGACGACTGGTGACGTGCCTGATAGCCAGCAAGGATCTGAAAAACTACCAGATGTTGAGATGGTTGTTGTTGTACAGGTTAAAGAAGAAGATTCGGACAACAAGAATTCCTCAGAAATTAAGCCTAAAGATAGTGATAAAGCTGCATTATGTACTGAATCAAATCTTTCTCCTCTAAAAGATGTGGTTTCAGAAAATGTAGTGACTTCTCTTAGTAAAGACAATCTAGTTCCTAATGTAAAGGAGAAATCACCAACTAAATCAGATCAAGAAAAGATTCAAGCATCACCAAAGAATCCTCCCATCATTTCTGTAGACTTGCATAACTCTGAGGAAACCATAGACTCATCAAATCATGTTAAGAATGAAAACAATGAAAAACAGGAAGAACATACATGTTCTGTTTCAACAGAGACACCAGTAACTAGTATATGTGTTTCTCCAGTAGCTAAACAAACAGAATCAACTCAAAAATCTCCTATTAAGGAGCAATCTGTAGAGAAAGCAAAGACACCAACTAAAGAAATAATACAAAAGTCTAATATTGAGAGTAAAGAAGACAAAAAAGAAGAAAGAACTATTAACAATCTAGTTGACATGTGTGAAAAGTCTAATGATTCTCAAACAAATTCTGATATTTCTGAAAAGGAACACAATAAAAGCATAAGTAGAGAGCTTAAATCTCTTATTAAATCAGCCAAAGAATCAAAGATAATTAGTGAATGTACACAGCTCACAACTAAAACAAGAAAGTCCAGAATTACTTTAGATAATTCTAACACAAGTCTGAATACATCTGTAGAAGTAGAAAAAATCCAAGGTGTGCGACGTAGTAGTACTGGCTCACAAAAAAGCAATTGCAGTGAGAAGGCAGAGAAGGTTCCAATCAAAAGGTCTATGAGGTCACAGAATCCGGAATTTGTGTATAAGGTAAAACAATTTCTCAATTCAGTAACTGGAAAATTTCAAAAGGGTGAAACTGATGATGAGGGGACAGAAGATAAAAAAGATGTTCAATGTGGATCTATGTCCCCATCCCCTAAAAAGAAAAAGCAAGAAGTACCATTACCTGAAATGGTAAGTATGTGTTATATATTTTTTTCTTTCCACTACTCCATTGTATATGAAGCTATCATTTTTATATTACATGTAAGTATATGTGTAAATGTATTATTTTATTTATCAATGATAGGCATTATTAACAGCCTCTATTTATAAACCACTATAAATATACAAAGTAAGGATAAGAGGGAATAAAATCTATAAATAAATGTCAATTAAAGATATTAAAGTTTTAAATTTATTAATGCTAGCTAATTATTTTGACACATTGTTTTAAGTTATCAATATTTTAAAATATTATCTCATAACTTTATCAGTTATGTTTCTTTTATCCAAAGAGTCCAGGCCGGAGTAATAAACTACGGTCAGATCCATACTGTTGGAGATGCCATTGGCAAGTTGAACAAACAGCAAATGATAAGGGACATCCACCTATGCAGTGCACAGTTTGTCCACGCTCCTTCCATTTCAAGTGTATGTCGGGTACGGAGCGGAATAAAATAAATACAGAGAAGAACTGGGTTTGTCCAGAATGTTTGTCTGTTTTGCATGCAGAAAGCTCTGAAACTAGGTAAGTGTTGAATAGATTTATTATATAAAAAAATTATAAAGAATAATTTATATACAGTTATACTTTGTAAGTATATATTTTAGTACTTTTTAAGTCGCAAATCAAGATTGTCAGTTTGTAATAAAATATAATTTTATTAGTATTAATGTAATTATTAATAGTATATTGTATAATTTCTAGAAACATCTTGGTCAATAAGTATAATATACTACAGTTTAATACTTTCTTAGATTTACGCGAATATTTGACATTTTAAATAAAACTGTCTTTTCGGATTTTGTCGCGGATTTAGTTGCATTTTTGTATTTATTTTAATTGTGGGTAGGCTGTCTGTAACAACTATATAATACCTTAGAGACATCTAACACCTCAGTCTCTCCCGTGACCATGATTGCTGTAAAGCATTCGAAACGTCGGGAAACAAAAATGCAAATAAATCCGCGACAAAATCCGAAAAGATAGTTTTATTTAAAATACTACAGTTTATTAAAGTCATCTCATTAGATTTAGCAAAGATTAAAGTATAATGTCTTATAAAGGTAACAACAAACAACATAAAATTTTTGCAGGTCTCCAGCCATGAAGAAGATAACTTTAGGCCATTTGTGTGAACTTTTGCAATATGCTTTGGAACGCATGAAAGATCTCAATGGGGTAAATATTTAGTAATTTTATACAACTATGTAATGCATACATAAGCAAAAAATTTTTTTTATATATTAATGATCCACCTTTAGATTTTATTACAGTAATTTTATATAAACATTACACATATCTCAGGTAAGCTATGCAAAATTGCAGAATAACATATTATTGTGTTTGAATTTCAACATATAGTTTTTATATATTACCATTGTATTTTGTAGTACTTTTTTTTCGAATAAACAAAAGAATTGCATATTTTTATGACCATTTTGCAATAAACTACTAGAATAATTCATCTTAGGTTCTAAGTAAATCAGGTCAGTTTTAATAAATGCTAATTATAATAATTTGTCATAATCGTGACGTCGCCTCGTGTATGCATATCACAACAAAATGGCTTCCGTTTTCAAATTTCTGTGGAATTAATTAGTTATATATTTCCGTATATATTTTATCTGTAATTCATTCGTTCGTAATATAAAAAAGGTTACAAAAAGATAAAAATAATAATAATTTGACTTTATTCAAAATATAATTTGACAAAAATGGTAGGCATAATTTGCAAGACGTCAAAATACGAAATGACAATCAATTAATTAAACTTTTCTAAATTACAAATTAATAAACAATTTAAGCTTTCACTTTGTAAATGCAACAAACATACATAATATAGAATGCATAGATACGAAAAGAAAACGCGCCAGTTGCTTAGAGGTAAAATGACCTTGCTACTTATCATAGGCGGGACTCGTATCTCCCATCTCTTTCTGATATACATTAATCAATAAAGCGAACTATTGCCGTCTCGCTCTGCACTAATAATAAACGACAAACGTAGATTGACGTTTTGCTTGTTCTGCATTTCTTACCTCGGTAGTTGATGTATTATATATTGTATACAAGGGTATTCTCGCTTATGTATCATTGACTGATTAATTAAAATGTCTACAATTTTTCATACATTTAATATCTAATATCTATAGAAAATTATAATTATGATATAGAATATAATTGCAGTTATGAAATTCCTTGTATTTTTTTATGATAAAATTATAACACCGTAGATAGTGGGTTCAATTCCCGCAAAGTGTGAATGTTTATTTTCGCAGTAGGATTATGAAATAGGAGGAGGCGATAAAGAGTTAAGTTTAGCCAACCACTGAGCACCTACTCTCCAATATATAAAAAGAGGGGCGTATTATGTTTTCTGCAGGAAAAATATATAATGTAAAGCTAAACTTTTATAAATAACTAGCGATTCACCCTCGCCTCGCTCGGGTTCGTCAATGGTTACGTTTTAACGTTTAGTATAGATTTCTCAGGGAGATATTTTCCCCCAGTAAAAAGTATCCTATATGTCTACTCAGATAACCAGTTATCGTCATACCAAATTTCATCAAAATCTGTCCAGTGGTTTTCTCGTGATGCGCTAACAGACAGACAGACAGACAAAAATTCTAAAAACTATAGATTCGGCCTCTGTATCGATAATATTGACTAAATAGTCAAGTTATTGAAATCAATAAGATTTTCCGAAAAATATTTTATGTACAGATTCGATTCAGTTCGAATTTTATTATGTGTCATCTTTCTATATATGAAAAGGTTTCTGTAACACATTCTATTTACTTATCATTGAATTGACCTCAAAATACGATATATCACAAAACGTGAGTAAATATTGTTGGTAGACATGTAATATCAGATACATTCAAGTTAAAATCTTTGTCTTGAAATAAAACAATGTATATGTAATCGTAATTAACTTCCTACCTTACCTACTTACTTACCTATTAAGGAAATAAAACAGTCTTTTAATATAGAGATTTGTTTTTTTTTAATAATATAGACCTGCATAAAAGTCTTAGTATTAATTATTATTTTTAATATGTTTTAGGTGGATCCATTCCTACAGCCAGTGGACCGAGCGGCGTTTCCCGATTATGACAAGTATGTCGTCCATCCAATGGATTTATCTCTCATGAAGAATAACATTACTGAAGGCCTCTATGGCAGCACTGAAGCGTTCCTGGCTGACGCGCAATGGATATTACACAATAGTATCATATTTAATACATGTACGTAATTATATTTTATTCTACTTATATGAAAAGAAAAAAATGTTTGTTTTCTTTATTCTTGTGACTTTCTATTTTTGTTTTATAAACATTATACTTTTAAACAAGCATTGAAAAATGTCTCTCCCTACTATTTCTGATTGAGGATGGAACTTGCGACCTACTTAACATGGTACACCAAGTATTATATAGGTAACTTCTACTATATAGACTATATTTTATAATATGTATAATATGAAATGTGTTCGAGATTCGGATTAATTACGATTTACGAGATCAAAATGTATTTATTTAATTCATTTAGTAAAGCTTTTAGTATGGTAGCAGGGAAATATAAAATGAAAATGTTTATTTAATATCTATGACCCAATAACATACCTTTATTTTGTGAATTTTAATGCGATTGATTGAAATAAAAAGATTAATATATTTTTCGTGTTCACATATAAAGATATAGATCAACTTCCAGTACAATCTAAGTTAACGGGCGGTGCTCGCGCCCTAGTCCGCTCGTGTAGGGCGGAGATGGGTGAGATAGAGGCGTGCCCGGAGTGCTACGCGGCCGCCCACGCGCGCCGACCCACGTGGTTCACTGATGTGTGTTCCACACCGCATATACTGATGTGGGCTAAGTTGAAAGGTATGTTCAGATGTTAAGTTATATCTTACTTTATAATTACTTCGACTCAACCTCGCTTCGCTCGGGTTCGTCCCTAGCTTGCTTCCCAATATAAACTTTCATCCCCATTTTCACCCCTTTAAGGGATGATATTCGGATAAAAAGTAGGGTAAGGTAAAAAATTTTCCCAGGGTCTCTCAAACTATCTTCTTACCAAATTTCATATAAATCGGTTGCGTAAATCCAGAGATTACCCCCAACAACGTTACAAACTCACAACCTCACAAACTGACAAACTTTACCTCTTTATAATATTAGTATAGATTAACTACCTCTGTGGTATAGTGGTTTGTACGGTTGCACATCCAGAGGTCCTGGGTTCGATCCCGGGTCTGGTTCCTTCTATAAAATAGCTTATTTATATGTAAACATTGCAGGTTTCCCGTACTGGCCAGCAAAGGGTATGTCAGTGAGTAGTGCAGGCTTGGTGGACGTAAGATTCTTCGGCGCTCACGACCGGGCGTGGGTTCCGGCGCGGGACTGCTTCCTGTATTGCGAAAAGGACCCTAACAACTTTAGGACCAAACGGCAAGACATATTGGATAGTATGCAGGTATTTTTTTTTAATTTTATACCTAAAATAGGGACAATGTCAATGAACAAAGTTGCAACTCAAAAATGGCTTTCCTTGCTGATGTATAACTGTTTGCATTTTGCAATAGACAATTGTAAACTCGAAATGTATTTCTGCTGCGACATTTTTGGCGAGAGTTCATATTTTTTTTGTTTATCTCTTTTTTTATTAGCAATTAGTTTAAAGAAAATATTTTTCACAGGAAGCTGAACAACATATCCGCAACATTTCACGAAAGTATGGTAAATTCGTCTATCCGCCATTTAAAACACAGTTTGATCCTACTAAATTGACAGAACAAGTGAAAATGATGGTGAGTTTCTATACTTTTCATTTCATTGACACATTTTTACATTCAGCCACTTGCTTACATTCAGATGGATATCTCACTAAGTGAGATTCACCGACTAGAAATGCCAATAATACCCTCGAACGGAACTTCCCCCGTCTTATCCGTCTTTATATATTATATCCGTCTCGCAGGATGGCTTACGCACTAAACTACGACGCCCCAATGACAGATCTGCCGATCACTACAACTAAGTGTTTGTTCCGAAGATCTAATCTACTATCAGAGTAGTACCAGGAGCAATCCACGAAGTTACGACCCTTAATTAGCTAGATTGCGTGAGGCATAAAAGTCATTTACAGTGTGCAAAGAAACTGCTTCTCGTAAATAGTTTTTTCGCAATTTGTACTGAGTTCACAAACATAAAGAAGGATGTTTGGGCGAAGTATCTAGTTAATTTGCGTGAGTTATAGGTTTCTAATATAAAATGATTCAATATTATAATAATAAAATAAAATTATAAAAACTAGCAACTTATTCTTGCTTCACTACTCTACGCCGATTTTGTTCACAATTTCATGGGTTTTAATTTTATACGCGGAATCCTAATTCTTTTTCTAAAATAAAAATAGGCTAAGTTACTCCTTATATCATCAGCTCTCCTTATAGCATCTGCCAGTGAAAGTCCCGTCAAAATTGGTCCAGCCGTTTTGGAGGTTAGCCAGAACAAAGAGACAGACAAAAATGTTAAAAATTGTTTTTTTTTTCTTATGAGTATGTATTTAGTGAAAAGCTGTTATTTTGACATTACAAACAGAAACTTCAATTTTATTTGTCTGTATAGATATATAAGTTTTCTCTTTGTAACAAACGATTAAACGTGTAAAGATGATATTGATGCTAAACTTTATATGTAATTTATACTTTTTCTTCCCCAAGTAGGTAGTAAGTAACTTTTGTAATGAAATAAAATATCCGTGATGTGTTATGTTTATATATATATTTTAGATACCAACATTTGAAGGTGAATTGAGGACGCCTATTAAGGACAAGCCAAATAGTTCACCTCATGGTAGCGCTAAGGAGAAAAGCAGGTCCAACTCTAAAAGCTCTAAGAGTTCTGTTAATGACGGGTAAGTGTCTTCACAATCATGTCTTTAAAAAGAAAAAACATATCTTCCATACCTCTCTATGAGTTTTTACCATTTGGGGAAAAGTCGCTTAAAATTACCTGCCTCCTTCCCTTTCAAAAATCCCTTTATATTCATTGTCCTAATGTGTATATAAATTGTCAAAGAGTACACCGATTTATTATACTATGTTGTCTCTTCATATATTATGTAATAGTTTTTTGTTGATAATTAATATACGTTAATAAACTCTATAATTGAGGTTATAATATATTCGTTTTCATATACAGAGATATTAGTGAAAATGAAGAAAGCCAAATGACGCCATTACGTAAAATGGCGGATGGAGCTGAAATAGCTCGAGAGGAAGAAGACTTTGCGATCGAAAAGTAAGTATTCCATTAGTTTAGATAGATGTTTCCTTATTTAATTAATTCTTAATACTTTTTAGATTTACGCGAATATTTGACGTTTTAAATAAAACTATCTTTTCGGATTATTTCGCGGGCTTATTTTGATTTTTGGTTCCCGACGTTTTGAATGCTTTACAGCAATCATGGACACGGGAGAGACTAAAATTTTAGGCTTCTTAAAGGTCATATACTTGTTAAACACAGTGCCTACCCAGAAATTTATATAATGATTTCAAAAATGGCATCAAAGTGCCTTACAATATTTGTTGATTCTAAACATTTAATTTTTTTTTTAATAAGTTATATAATTGAATATGACAATATTATTTTTAATTTAAAAATAAATCCGCGAAAGATTCAAAAAGATAGTTTTATTTCATTAATTCTTTAACTAATTTTTATATATTATTTTATAGGGATAAGCCTATAGAGATTGAAGTTCCAAGTAAGGAAAAAGAGATGTGCAGGAAAAGGCGCAGATCTGAATTAGAGGAAGCTGTTTTAACAGTTATAGAAACAAGTTTTTGTGAGAAACGACCGAAAATCGATGAAAATGATAAAAGTTCTGCCACTAAAAAGTCAGAGGATATCAAGGACAAATCGTTAGTGGATATTGTCATAGATGTAGACAAGCCAATAGCTGCAGTGAATAATAAGATTGTCGATATGGATATTACTGTGCTGCCCAATGAAAAAACGAAGGAAATAACTAATAACACAGAAATAGAACCTGTAATAGATAAAACACCTGTAAAAATTAATCTTAAAATCAAACCAACTAGATCAAGTACACCTAAGGATGATAAAAAAGACGAGAAACCTAACCTAACACCAAAACTAAAACCGGTAAGATCAGAAAAGTCGACTCCCATAGAAAAAGATAAACAAGAGGATAAAAAAGCACAAAAACGTAGAAACTCTAGAAATAAATCATTAAATAGCAGTGTAAGTTCGAAAGAGAAAACAACTGAAAAGAAAAATGATAACGCAAATACTAATGGTAAAGAAAAAAAAGAAAATGGTCCGAATAAAGCCAACGAGAAAGCTGTTAAAGTTGATCAGAAATCAATTAAAGATCGGATTCAATTCGATGATGATATAAGTTTAGCAGTGATAGCTAAACAGTCTAAGACAAGTACAGTGTTACCAACCATTAGCAGCGTACGAAGTCTGTCCACAACCCCTCAGAATGCAGATGCGCCAAATAAAAACACCGAAATAATAATTGCCAATTCAGATTCTAGCATATTCACACCGACAAGTACTGATAATGTCAGAAATATGAAGGAAGCTGTTAATAAGTTGCAAAAGCTACGAAGCGATACTGAGACGCCGGTTGGACGAGTCGGGGTGAGGGCGTTCGCTCGGATGACGTCACCAGACCGTCCCAAGCCCACAGAAGATGTGGAAATTGAAATCAAATCTGAGCCAATTGATTTTGATGATGCAGATCGACAGTCCGAGAAAATGGATCTAATGAATGCCTTCCACCTTCGCCCAGTTAACCCACCGGCTTCTAATTTGCGAGGCGTGCGAATAAACAAAGTCGTGGTAGCGCCTATCGCTAGGAAAACACCAACAAAGCCTGCCGAAATTCGTGTGAAGGCTAAGAAAACCTTTCCTCAGCCGAGGAAGCCTGATGATGGAAGGTCAGAGTTGAACAGCAAGAACTCAATGGTATACATTCCCATACAGCCCCCGAGTACACAGGCGCCGGTAAGACCGACCCGCCCCATTACAGTTAACGGCTCGGCCAATTCGCAGACGACCAGGCCGCAAGTATCTAGTAGTACTTCTTGTATTGGTAAGAAATGTTTATATTTTTATTTTTCATATAAAACTTTTTTAACTTTTTATTCGTAATTGACATCTATATATATAAAATAAAGTCGGATTTGTTACAACGCTTATAACTCGGGAACTGCTGGACCGATTTTTATGAAAAAAATATTTTATAAAACATTGAAAAAAATCAGGAAAAAAATTATATAAAAAAAGAACTATTCCATACTAAGCGTCAAAACTTACCTAGGGACGAACCTGAGCGAAGTTCGTGTCGCTAGATTTTAATATTTTAATGCTTTGTTTTAATTTATTTATCTAATAACATATAACATTCTGTGATAATATAGTTTAAGTTGTTTATTAAGTATATTTTAGGAGTCGGGTTACATTACGACTAATTAATTTTATTTCATTCAATATGTATTGAATAAAGATAAAAATGTCCTTTTAATATAAAGACATTACACTATATTTTGTTTTTGTATCTATTGCAAGGATAATTTGAAGCTACATACGGTACTGACTGTCTGTCTACCATATGTTTAAATTGCGATGAAATTTTTTTACCCATTAAAAGTAAAATAATCCGTATTTTTCTCCCCTATTCCAGCAAGCACAATTCTCAACACGACAATCCCACCAGTACCAATAACAACAATGACGAACACCATTTCCACGCCCACGGTAGTGTCAAATTGCATCAACAACCCGATATGCGTGCCCACAGTTGGGCAAGTGCCCACGACAGTGCAGACTGTGCCGTTCATAACATCGGTTAATGGACAGTGGACATTCAGCTTGCAGCCAATCATGTCTGTTGGTGGCATTGATGTGAGTAGTATACTTTTGTATTTTTTTGCAGTTCAACTTCTTTTGGCACGTTTGAATTTCTACGATGCACACTGACAACCAAAAAGCGACATGATGAAGTTAGCTGCATTCCTTTTACAAACAGAGAGTTGTGACATACGTGATGAAATCTTTAGCTATTTTTGTTCTGTTACGCCAAAGAAGTATAATTTCTTACGTGCGTACATAAGTACACACACACGTTTTTTTTTATTATATTTGGTATGCTTTATAAATTCATATCTTGTTTATATACTGATATTGTGAAGATTTATTTTGTTTGTTTTAACGCGTTAATCTCTGCAATTTAGATGAGATTTGAGAGATTATTTTTGTATTTTCATTAGTCTATTTATTGATGTAGTCTCTAGGATATACACTATTTCGCTAGTGAGGAGCATACATTCATCAAAGAACTACGTGAGTGAAGCCACGGGCAAAAGTTAGTAGTAGTATAAGTAGTACATATATGATGATGATGATGTGCTCCTGACCGATTCCGGCCACGGCGGCCAATCTCATTGAGACTAGCCAACTGCGCAGGAGATATTATAGTGCACAAGTGTACGCGCAGACACACCGTGCACTCTCTGTTCCTGTCACTCTCATACTCCGGTGGGACGACTGCTCGACACGACCAGTGAGAGTTAAGGCGCCGGACCGACGGCTTTACGTGCTCTCCGAGGCACGGGGGTGAAACACCGCCAACTTCCCAACTCCGGGCTGTTACTGAGACTTACTATACAGAAAGACTCAATAACTAAATTTGGCCCGACCCGGGACTCGAACCCAGGACCTCCGAGTGTGCAGCCGTACATGCTAGCCACTACACCACAGAGGCAGTTAGTACATATATAGTCAATCTGTGATAATATACCTATTTTTGTGTAAGCAAATATATTTGCCAATACCACTGCTTTGTCTATCTGTCTTTGTCTGTTTGTTTGTATCAGCTAATAGCAGCAATTTATTATTAAAGACGGCAAAATATAAAAAGTATGTATAACATATATGTAATATAAAATAAAATTAATTTTTTTTTACGTTCACACAGGGATCTCCGTCATCCCCAGTGGTAAACGGTTTGACAGAACGCAATAACAATGCCATGGTCCCCATAGTAACGCCCGCCGTAGTTTCCGCACCCATCTTAAACGCCCTACAACCTGCCCAAATACAAACTACCAATAACACCATTGAAAACCCACCTGGGGTAAGTGAATTCTATGATAAATATTAAATTTATATATTATTAGACTAATATTGTGTATATGTGTATGCGAATTTTCAGTGATTCAATGGTATAATTTTACTACTGAATAGGTGAGTGTGTGCAATTTAATTCTAGATCATCTCGGCTTTACAAGATGAAGATCCCTTAAGGATAGATAATGTAAATGACGTTTCTATTGAACAAATGTCAATGAGTAGTCCACCTGGACGACAGAAGGTTTATCAATCTAAAAAAGCTAGTAGCGGTTGTGATGATACTCATACAAAAGTAAGTAACAGTACATTAAAGTTGTATGAATATAAAAATTCTTTTCAGTGGCGCTCCCTTAATGTCGCTTGTAACTAGTTAAAATTCGTTTTATAAAGTTTGGGCTCTATCGAAATGTTCTTAACAGTTGATTTTATCTTAAATTACGAGTGACTCACCCTCGCTCTATTCGGGATCGTCTCTAGTTGCTTTTTAGCGTTTAGTATAGATTTCTCAAAGATGAGATATTTTCCCGCACTAAAAAGTATCCTATATGTCTACTCAGATAACCAGTTATCGTCATACCAAATTTCATCAAAATCTGTCCAGTGGTTTTCTAGTGATGCGCTAACAGACAGACAGACAGACAAAAATTCTAAAAACTATAGATTACGTCTCTGTATCGATAATATTGACTATTTCAATAAGATTTTCCAAAAAATATTTAATGTACAGATTCAACACAGAATTTTATTATATGTATAGATAGAGAAATATGCTAAAACGGGAATTTGGGTATGTTTGACGTTTTAGTTTTATTGAACACTAAAAAAATGTTACTTACCTGTAGTTTCGTAATTGTCAATTGGATCAAGTATATTCTTGGCAAATACATTTTGAAGGTGGTAAGTAAGTTAAACTCTTTAGACGTTCTTCTTTCTCATAGTTTCTACAATAAAATTCATCAGGACTTGTGTAAGTACGGCTTTTTATTTTTAGGACATCCCAGAAAGGATACGTTTTTCAAAACGTCTTCAATCGGCAAGTTCCTCAGCCGGAAATGAGCCCATAGAGCCTATAAATTATGTGCCTATAAAACCCAAACGAGTATACAAAGCACAGGCTAGTAATATAAATTATTATTGCTACGAGAGGGCGTTTTTAAATTCGCGGAATGGGGGGTAAGAAGTGGATAAAAATGTACGAATTTATTTTGCTACCCTTATACAATTTTCAGATCTTTGAATTAACGTACATAAATAACTTCGAAAAAAAAAAGGTTTTGTCTTTATCTGAAAAATACGCCAAAACTGCATCCTTCATTTGAAAATTTCTTCCCACAAAGACTTTTTTTCGAGTTTGGGAATAGGCAATAATCGCTGGAGCTTGGTCCGGACTGTAGGGTGGGTGAGCCAGAAATTTCGAAGCCCATCTTCTGCAGGGCAGCCATCGCAACACGGCTCTTGTAAACAGGCCCGTTGTCGTGCAGGACACCTTTGGTCAATTTTCCTCTTCTTTTTTCTTTGACTGCATCCTTTAACCGCTTTAGGATTAAAGCAGAGTATTATCCGGTTATGGAGCCACTTATACCTTTATAATCGATTATCATGATCCCTTTTTTCCGGAGTGATCACCTCGATCGGCCGGCCTGGCCGTGGATGTCTTCAAGTGAGTCCCTGCCTTGCTTAAAGAGGTATGCCACTTGTAAACCATGGTTTTACCTGGGCAAGAGTCCCCGGAAACAGATGGTTTGAACTGATTTGCCTTGTTTGGTAAGGAACTTTGTAACAGCGCGTTACTCGATTTTCTCCATATTTCACAATGTGTTCCCGATTGACTGGTTTGGTCGACGATAGTTCAAAAACTAATGACCCAATTACGATAAAACTTGGTATTTATACTAATAAAGAGTTGCTTAATTCGTAATGACCCGAGTCAGTACCCTCACTAATGACCTACCTTCTCATTCCGCGAACTTAAAAACGCACCATCGTATATGATAAGTGAAAATATTCCCGGAGAGGTGAGCGGGAGAATTAAATGTATGCATCTCCTTAGACTTGTAGTGACCCATCTCAAAATGGCGAATGAAATGTGTTTTATAATATATGTATATCGAATATCTTGTATTGTTTTAAGTTTAATTTATTTCAATGTGACGTACTTATTTATGTAAGCTTTTTGCGATGCGAAAGCGGTGATACTAATACTCGTAAATGTATACTTTGTAGAACTTTTGTTTGTTTAAAAACTTTATAATGCATATTTCTTAATTTATACAACCTTTTTTACTTTATTAAAAGACTTCTTTTCGGCATTTTTCGCGGATTTATTTTGATCTTTGGTTTCGATGTTCCGAATTCTTAACTGCGATCATGGTCACGGGAGATATAAAAATCCAAAAATCAAAATAAAAAATTCGAAAACATTGCACTCGAAAAATATAAAGTATTCATGTCTTTTATTTATTTACCATATAAAAATTATTTGAAATATATACTATTTTCTAGTTAACAATTATGATTATTTAATAATTCAAGCTTTTAATTTAACGTCCCAATTCTATTCACGCGCGGATCTTTTCTCATTAGTCCTTCACCGTAAGGCGGAAACGGCAACATAAAAATTACTACTGCATAGTTTGGGAAATCTCTTTCAAAAAAAGAAAAAATGGGTGCTTGTAACCTTTACGCGCGGTTGAAGTAAAACTTCTTTGGCAAATATCGCAATTAAATTAAAACAAATCAATAATAATTAAATAAGGCATATTAGCCATATTACAATCATATATTTATAGAATATTATATACGGAAAGAATATAGGTAATATTATATATTTGTCAGACAATAACAACCGTTATCGTGGCAACATGGCATTATATACTCTCTCATTCTCTCGCCGGCTTAATTCTATATATTTATGCGTAAGTCTCTTTTTAACCGACTTCTTATTCCAAAAAGGAGGAGGTGCTCAATTCGTCGAATCAATTTTTTTTATGTATGTTCACCGATTACTCGAAGACGCCTGAACCGATTTGGAAAATATATATTTTTTTTGTTTCAAAGAGTATACTTCCCAGGTGGTCCCATATAAATTTTATCGAAATCGGTCGAGCGGTTTTTTAAAAATCAACAATAAAAAAAAATTAAATAAATTGTTTAATCGAATATGTTATTGAACAACTTTCTTACAAATTACCTGCTTATTACGTCTACACTAAAAATGGAAAAATAAAAACTTTTTAACAAAAAATAAAAACCGCCTTCCAGGCACTAAAATGTAAAAAAATTACTAAACGGAGGTTTTCATTTAGAATAGATACCTAATCAGATATTTTCGAAGTCGGTTTTTGACGGTTTGTCGGTGAAAGTTTTTATTAGTGTCGCATTTTCGTTTTATCATGATTTAAATCACAACGATTCTAAGAAAGTTTCACTTCAAAAAGAAAAGACAAAATCGTCCAATATTATAATAATAATAATCAACACATAACATTAATTTTGATTTTACACAACGCCTTTGCTTGAGTTGATTGTTCAAAAACCTAAAAATATGTTCAGAAGACAAAATGGATAATGTGCATATTTTTATATTCTCTAACTTTTAATAGTTATACCAATTCGTGCGCTCGAAACAAACCGACAATTAGCCATCGGCCGGTACGGAGTTGTAAATACCGAATTTGATAATTTCCGCAAAATAAAAATATCTTCCTACTTATTATAAACTATATTTATAATAAAATATATTTATTTTTGTGTAATTATACTATTTAGTTGATATATTTTAGTATTAAGTTCCATTTGATGCTGTACTGCACCTACACCGCACTAAATTAACTTATTTTCTCACTTCTGAAGGGTTTCTGGGAGAAATCTCTTAAATATATCTTTAATAATTAAAGTTATTATTGATTTTTTTGTTTTAAAATTGTATATTTTTTAATTTGTAATTTTAATGAATAAATTTTTTTTTAAATTTAATTGGAATTATTGTTATACTATTAATTAATACTAATGTTATAGCCTGTTAAAGTTAGCAAGTTGTAACTACCTATAATTAAAAGTGCAATTATCATGATAAATTATATGTAACCAAAGTTTAAGTATTATAATATTGTAACTTTTGTTGGTAGTTCAATAAATAAATAAATAAATAAATAAGTTATCCTTTGTCGAAATTCTGTTACTTTATTTTGTTATTTTGTTATTAAACTGCCTCGGTGGTGTAGTGGCTAGCATGTACGGCTGCACACCCGGAGGTCCTGGGTTCGAGTCCCGGGTCGGGCCAAGTTTAGTTATTGAGTCTTTCTGTCTAATAAGTCTCAGTAACAGCCCGGAGTTGGGAAGTTGGCGGTGTTTCACCCCCGTGCCTCGGAGAGCACGTAAAGCCGTCGGTCCTGCGCCTTAACTCTCACTGGTCGTGTCGAGTGGTCGTCCCACCGGAGTATGAGAGTGATAGGAATAGAGAGTGCACTTGTGTCTGCGCGTACACTTGAGCACTATAATATCTCCTGCGCAGTTGGCTAATCTCAATGAGATTGGCCGCCGTAGCCGAAATCGGCTAGGAGAACATCATCATCATCATCACTTTATTTTGTATAAAATATATATTATGGTATATGAATAAATAAATAAATAAAAATAAACCCGTCTAAACGACCGATCGGTGTAAAGTTTGCAGTGTACATTAAACGTTCATGTGATCATCCATCAACAGATACAATGATATAATATGACTAGCATTGCCCGCGGCTTCGCCCGCGTTCAGATGACCAAAAACCAAATTCTTAGGTTTTACAAATTATTATACTCTTACATTGCAGTTTTTGTATTTTTTCTCAAAAATTAGATATTTTCCCGCGGTATAAAGTGTCCTATATGTTGACCCGGATAACCAGCTATCACCATACCAAATTTCATCAAAATCCCTCCAGTGGTTTTTCTGTGATGCGGTAATAGACAGACAGACAGACAAAAATTCTAAAAACTATAGATTCGGTCTCTGTATCGATAATAATGTTTATTTCAATAAGATTTTCCAAAAAATATCTAATGTACAGATTCGGCTTAGTTACAACTTTTATTATATGTATACATTAGTAATATTCATTATTCGTGTCATATGTTGGTTCCCACATTAGGGTCATTTGGGGTTACAAATAAATTGTTAATTCCTTTGATATCCCAAAAAAAAATATAGATTTCTCCAAAAATAGAGGATGGATCGTGAAAAATGCATATTGTAGGTACAGCATTAAATCATGTTTCAGAGTATCGTATTCTCTTATTTCTTTGCCACAATATGTTTTTAAATTCGTTACGGTTACGTTCGTTGTGGTGTCGCTTTAAATGTTTAGTAAAAAAATTTTTGAGAAATTACTGCATGTAAAAACTGCAAATTAGTAATATTGTGTAATTATTTGATTTTTTACAGCCGCCTCGCTTGCAACAACGGCCGTTACTCAACCCTCTAGACTCGAATACTCCGATCGGTTCAGTCCCGCCGCCGTCGAGCGCGGGACCTCTCACTGCCAAATTAAACCAAAATGCTGTTAAGGTAACACTTTTATGAGCATTTTTTGTAGTAAAAAACTTAGTATTTAAGGTCTTCAATGTTCCACACAAGCTGTACCCGCGGCTTTGACCGCGTTCAAACTTCCGATATAAACATCAGTTTTACAATAATGTACGGAAGTCTGCTCGATTTGTTAACGTTTATGATTACTGCTCTGCTCTCTTGGGTAGTAGCATAATGATATATAGTCTATGGTCTTCCTCAATAAACGGGCTATCTAATGTAAAAAGAATTTTTCAAATCGGATTAGTAGTTCCTGAGATTAGCGCGTTCAAACAAACAATCAAACAAACCATGTATCTTTATTATAATAATAATATTAGTATTATTCCACATTTTATGATCATAAACGCACGTTGTTGGCGAGTATTCTGTTGCTGAATAACTTGAATAAAGAATTCTTACGTTATTATCGATACAAACGTGCGATAAGAGAATGTTGACAGCGCGATAAACATCATCGTGTACATAGAAAGTGCACGTAGAAATGATGTTGACCAATACCGTGGTTTGGTGTTGATTGAAATTGTAAAAATGAGAAATCTAAATGCCAATATATACACTAGTTTAAAAATTGAAACGATTAATTTAATGATGATGGGGATAAGGTGGATAGTGGAAATCTTCAACGTCTACTCGTTATTTGTTTTTTTTTTATGAGTCGAGTTTTTGACGAGACTAGATAAAATAATGTAGATATTACTCATGGGTGTATCCCATTAAGAATATTTTTTTTTTACACTTACTCTTCATACAAGCAGTAAGTTAGTGAATAATATGAAATAAAAGTAACAGAACAATCTTATGCTGTAAGTATGTAAAATTATTTATCTAACTTCAGTTAGCAGACTTCTTTAGGCTGTTGCTAGAAGATTCGCTGGACAAAATAGAAGAGCCGGCCTCCCACGTGACCGCGCTGAAGTTACAGATGGAGCAAATGCAGTGGAGGCATCAACAGGAGATTAACGAATTAAAACATAATCATGGTATGCTGTAGGTTTTTTTAATCTGTGGATATAATATTATGGGCGGTGAATAATTCTTTATTCGTCGCCTTGAGATAGTCTCAGTGAGATTGGCCGACGTGGCCGGAATCAGTCGGGAGGATATCATCAGTAATAACCACGATTATTTTAAATAAAACTCTCTTCGGATTTTTGACCAATCAGTGAAAGGTCATTGTCTCCTATGACCATGATTGCTGTAGAGCATTCGAAACGTCGGAAACCAAAAATCCAAATAAATCCTTAAAAAAATCCAAAAGGATATTTTAATTTAAAATGTCAAATATTCGCGTAAGTCTAATAAAGTATTACATAATTATTTTATATTTATTATATCAAACAGATTTATTAATAACGGAAATGCGAGCGTCCCTGGAAAAAGCGACAGCGCGCGCCGTCAGCGAAGCGCGTCGCAACGCGCAGATGGAGTTAGAGGCTGCAGTTAAAACGGCTAAGGCGAAACAGTGGTATGCTCTAATTGGACTATTATTTTTTTCCTTGTTTAAAGAGTGTTGTCAAAAGTTAAAAATTGAATATGTAAAACAAAAGTGTAGTTAAGTAAATCTAAACCATTGATTTCTTAAATGGATACATATTTTTGTTAATTTATATAGTAACTAGCGGCTCACTTTCGTTTCGCTCGGGTTCGTCCCTAGCTTGCTTCTTCATACAAACTTTTATCCCCATTCTCACCCCCTTAAGGGATGATTTCCGGGACTATTTCCGGGAACGACTATTTCACTCACTCACTTTTCATATCATGAGATTTAAAAAATATTAGTTTAGTAAAAAAAATATCTTTCAATTTCTTTCTATACAAAGCTTGTCCTGACAATAACAAACACCAAAAAAAAAGAATTATCCAATTTGGTGCAGTCGATCGGAAGCTATGCGCGTACATACATTTCTGTGATTCATTTTTATTTCTATTAGCTATAGATTTAGCGTTATAAGTAGAAAGGAAGAACAGGATTGCAACTATTTTAAAGATATTGTCCAAAAATTTTCATTTAGGACGAATTTATTCATTCAATCCAATTATTTTCGATATACACAACAAAATCCAAATTTATTTGAAGGAATGTCGATCGGAATACTATTAAAATTGCGAGAGTTTGTATGTCTGTTTTTGTATGTTTGTTATTCCTTCCCGCTGAAATAACTGGACGGATTTAGGGAGGATTTGGATTTAGATAGACTGTAACCTGTAGTAATAATTATAGGCTACTTTTAAGCACTTAGGGACACACTTGGGCTAAGCGAAGTTAATCGTTATAGCTTTACTTGTAATTGACACACTATTATTATTATTTTGTTGGGTGAGGTCGGCCCTAGCTACGTCAACCAGTTTTGGTCCATTGTAGCTCAATTGACACTCTAACTATGTATTTAACACCTCCAGGTAAATTTCTAAGAAACTAATTAAAATTCTAAGAAGTCTATTGTTAACTGTAACGCCGGCGTGTCCGCGGTCGTGGAGGGATTATTACTATACAATTACACTTGAAAGTACATTTTAACATTCTATTCTCTTGTTGATTTGAAACTTTGTTAAGTATGTGAAATCCAGATGACATTACTATAATTTGATACCATTGAACTGATGGTTGTACTAAGAGATGGGGGATCTTCAATGGCTAATGTGAAAAATAGAATATGAGCTTAGTCTTCTGGTTTAATTTTAAAGCTATATAGTTTTCAAAAACAAAATAATTATTATTTTATATTATGAATGCACTATATTATTATTAATTTAATACATATGTATGTGTACAGGTGTGCGAATTGCAGTCAAGAAGCGCAATTCTACTGCTGTTGGAACACGTCGTACTGCGACTATCCGTGTCAGAAGGCGCACTGGTCGCAGCACTCCAATGTTTGCGCGCAACAGAGAAATCAGGTACTAAACATGAAGTCAAATAAAGTTTTAAATAATTAAAAAAATGATTCTTTGTTGAATAGAAAGATGTTCAAATATTACTTTAGTAGCATAAAGCAAAAGTAGATAAGTCGGGGTGTTCTATATTTTGTTATGTTTTGTTATAATACAATAATAATTAGATTTAATTTTGATTTACCCTTGTTAAACTGTATATATTTTTTAGTTAATACTTAATTCTGTTAATATGCACGTGATGTTCACATCTTAGAAGACATCATTAATTGTCTGATTGTTTATTTCATTTGTATGTCGGTCTTGTGAACTTATAAATAAATAAATATGTAATGTTTTAAAAGAGGATACAAATAAAAAAAAGAGAAAGATAAAGAAAAATAAGCTAACAAACTGTTACCTCTTTTTCAAGGTGAAGAGAGAGAAGAGAACTAATGCTTAAAAATACAAAAGAATGTAGTATTTTTTATTATTCATGTTTTCTTCGCAAAAATTGTAAATAAACGAATGATACCTAGTTAGCACACAGAATATGATCTGAAATTACATAAAGCCATACATAGCTTCATATAAATGTCTAATATATTTTGGAACCAATCTATATATATATATATATATATATATATATATATATATATATATATATATATAAAAAAAACAAAGTCGGGGTTGTCACGTTTTTTTTTTCAAAATTTACATGGCTAACGCTGGTTAATAACTATTTATATCTATTTAAAACGTACCTAGCGACAAACCTGAGCGAAGCGAAGATGAGCCGCTAGTACCCAATACATCTTGCTTCTGTTCTCGATCGGTCTTCTTATAACAGTCTTATTGTTACAGGATAATAATGGTAATGACAACGGGAGCGCGTTAGAGAAAAGACTGCAGCCAGCCCCTGAGACTCTACCAGTGAGTTAAAATTATAATAGGCATGTCAAAATAACTTAGATTATTCTTATTTTTTATCATACTAATATTATAAATGAAAGTTTGTGAAGAGGGATGGATATATGTTTGTTGCTCTTTCACGCCAAAATGGCTGAATAGATCTGGATGAAATTTGGCACAGAGATAGATAGTCTGGAATGGCACATAGGTTAATTTTTATCCTGAAAAAATGTATGGTTACGTTGGGACAAATTTGTTTTTGTATAGTATTAAATAATTGCATTATCTTTTCAATTCGTCTTTTGAAATGCAAAAATGGGAGGCAATCATTAGAAACTTCGAGAACTGAAAAAAATTGTCTTATTAATGTTTTATTTTGTGTTCATTGCAGAAAAGCACGTCGTCGACACCAGTGCTGACTGTTGGCGGTAAGATCGCACCGACGCGCACATTCGGACAGGACAGTCCGCAGAAGGCTTCCATTATCGGTATGTGAAGATATTTTATGTAATAATAATGTACACCCGACCTATTTTACCAACATATATCTTATTGAGACTAGCCAACTCTGCAGGAGATTTTTTTTACCAAGTTTAAAAGTTATTTTACATTTTATTTAACATATATTACATAACATATTATGCAGTATTATTTTTCACGTCCTATGTAATGTATTCTATCTCATTCTCTCGCCGGCTTAATCTTATATAGTGCATATATTTATACACATTTTAATTTATAAGCATTTGGTTAATTTTGATTATACTTATTTTCAGTGAGCATGGTGGAAGATCAGAGCGGTAATCAAACAGTGAAATGCGTCGGCACGTACAAGCCCACCGCGTCCCAACAGGGGCCGCCGTTACTCATAAATAAACAAGTACGTTTTTTTTCGCTAGTTCTTAAAGGAAATTATATTTACACTAGCATTACCCGCGGCTCCGACCGCGTTCAGATGTCCAAAAACCAAATTCTTAGGATTTACATTTTACATTTACATTAGTTTACTTACATTGTAGTTTTTGTATTTTTTCTCAGAAATGAGACATTTTCCCGCGGTAAAAATTATCCTATATGTTGACCCGGATAACCAGCTATCAGCATACCAAATTTCATCAAAAACCCTCCAGTGGTTTTTCTGTGATGCGGTAACAGACAGACAGACAAATATTCTAAAAACTAGATTCGGCCTCTGTATCGATAATTATGTTTATTTCAATAGGATTTTCGAAAAAAATATTTAATGTACAGATTCGGCTTAGTTACAATTTTATTATAATTGTATAGATTTAAAAATTTAACAATTGTTTTAAGTTTAGAAAGGAGACTTACTTTATTTTATGATTAATGATTAAAAATACGTACTTATTATATAATATTATTATTAAGTACAAAAATTTTGCTAAAAATCTGTGATGATGGTGAATTTTGTTAATATTTTTTATAGTTTTAGACAAAAAAAAATATGCGAAAGTATGTAAGTATATCCATTATAAATCAATATTTTTTTTTCCTAACTCCTGGTGTTACTGATACTAAACAGGACTAATAAACTAAACTTAGTCCGACCGGGACTCGAACCTAGGACCTCCGGATTTACAGTCGTATATGCTAGTCACTAGACCACCGACGCAGTTAACACCGAAGCAGTTGTTCAAATTTTAATATTACCCTCGCTTCGTTCGGGTGCATCCCTAGCTACGTTTTAACGTTTTTGAGCAGACCCTTGTTTCTTTTTCTAAAATAAATACTTTTATAATACATAATACATAAGTTACTCTTTATAACATCATCTATTTGCCAGTGAAAGTCCTATCAAAAACTGTCAAGCCGTTTCGAAGATTAGCGGGAACAAACAGACAAACATTTTAAAAATTGTGTTTTTCTTATAAGTACCTTATATAATTTCATATGCATTTAGTAAAAAGCTTTTATTTCGACGTTACAAACATACGCTTCAATTTTATTTATATTACTATATGTATTGGCTTTATAATGTTATGTATTACAGATAATGAATAATGAAGAAAATGCGGCCAAGAAAGTGGTCACTTCCGGCGGTTATCTGATAGTGGGCGCCGGAAGCGGGAACCAGCCGCTTGTGGCGCCCTCCCGACGTCAACACACCTTACAATATTACACATGAGAATGAAATGACATCCAAATAATAAAAATTAAAGAACTGAACTGAAATGAAATATTTCTATTAAATAGTGGTTATATAACATTTGTGATTACGGACTAAATGTGCAACGTCTGAACTATAAAATATATGAGTGGTTAGAATTGAACTGTGGAGTGCTGGTTTATTTTTATTAGTCTCGATTGTATATAATATGTTTTTGATTTACAAGTTAATTATATTAACTGCATGAGTAATGCTTTATATAGTGTTGATAATGTGTGAAGATTTGAGTGATATGTAAAAATGTACGTGTAAAAGGCGAAGTTAAAGGCGAAATGTCTAAACGATTGGATAGTGAAGTCATTGAGAAGTAAATGAAAACAAAATGTGGTTAGTGATTGTAATGTTATATGATTGTGTACATTTATTCGAAAAAAATACAACCGAATTGAGAACGTCTTTTTTTTGAAGTCGGTTGAAAACAAAGGCCATTTTAGTGTGTTTGGAATAGTTATATTTAACTATCACTATGAGACTGTATTGACATCCATGTTTAATAGAATATATTATAGATGATTCTAAATGACAAATCGTATCTGCTCTAACCAGGAATTGAATTCTGGATTTCTTTCACTGTTACCTTGATGTATATTGATTAAATTAAAACGCGAGCATCGAGCTAAAATTAAAATTTTATAAAATTAAATTTTAGGTATAAGATGACACTGACGGTTGAAGTATAGCGAAACCCCTTAGATTATACATTGCAATAATAAAAAAAATTCAAGTTATTGAAATCGTGAGAGCAATAAGTTTTTTTTTTAATTTTGCATTTGTTACATGTTTTACGTTTTTGTAGCTATTAATAAAAAATTATAATTCATATTTTTATTATTTTCAAGTACAATTGGTACTTGCGAAAAATTTTATTGCAATATTTTTTAATTATATATATGTATAACAAAACATTACATATTTTCGCGAGAAAGATTATCGATATTTTTTTGAAATATATCTTTGCAACTCTGAAGAGGATGTCATCGCAAAATTATATATTAGATAAAATTGCCAACATATATTAAGATGAAAATGTGTAAATATTGTAAATTACGTAGTAATATTTTTGATGGTACATAATCGGTTATTAAATTGTTTCAATAGAATAGTTCATTTATATATGTATTCAAATAATTAGAACAGATGCTACACCACAGATCTCTAATATAACAAATAAGAGAAATTTTCTAGTAAAATTCGTGAAAAATGTCATCCAAATGGTTACGCAGTATCTGAAATAAATTAGGCCATAGAATATAAAACAATAGTTCTTGCTCAAATAATTAAAAATGTTAATATAACATTGCAGATATAAGCCTTAGCTGATATCGTTAATTTAAAAAATTAAGCAAATCTATGGTTTAAATTATGCCTTAATTGCTGTCTGTGTTGTGACATTATGTAATTAAAATGCTAGAATATAGTGATGTAGTGTTTCATAATAATATTTTTTCCAGTTTAAAAACAATATCGATTTACATACAAGTGAATGTATGCAAGAGCCATTTGTAATGGAACTTTACAAATAACATATTGTTCTATAACTTCCTTTAATGAATGTATTCAGCCCTTTTAACGTCCCACTTCTGGGCACGGGCCTCTTCAGTACATAGGGGTTCAGGCCATAGTCCACCATGCTGGCCAAGTGCGGGTTAGTGGATTTAACATGTCTTTTGAAAACTTTGTTAGGTCCTCTCAGACCTGCAGGTTTCCTCACGATGTTTTTCTTATAATCATGTTGGAAATGATTCACGCATGAATATATCAGAGGTGCGAAACCTTGGATTTGAACCCGCTTCACTCGGTTTTCCAAGCGAGCGCATTACCACTAGGCAACCGCCGCCTTCTAGTGGATTCACTGATTGTAAGGGTTCACTAGTTGGCGGATTTAAATATTGTTGAATATTTAATCTGTACAAAAATACAAACAATGGTAGACTCTTTTGTTGTCTTCATTCTTTATTTAAACATGGACTTTAAATTTATTTCAAGTTTTACTTTTATAATGATCGGCAAATGTGTTGAAAAATAACTTAGACGATTGTCTGGTTATTTTGCAGACTGAGGCATTCAGCACCTTCAACTGCATCTTGAGATGTTTGCCGCTCACTATATGTTTATATATTTTAAGACTGGTAATATTTAAGTTAATGTTGTATATATCAGCTGTTATGCTGAACATTTTTTTACCAACAAATTACATTAGTGAATGTGTGTGAATATAAAAAGTTTAATTCACACTTGAATTTCGATCTTGATTTCAAAATATAAATATACAAATTATTGTCCTTATTATTTTATGCGATTAATTAAAGAAATACATGGAAATATTGCAGCCATACAAAAATATTTTTTTATTTATATGTACTATTTAGTTGATCTAAAAAGATGCAGTAGTGTTATTTCATACTGAAGTTTTGACATATAATATTTTTTTAATAAAACCTAAAGTAAACAGCTATTTGGAGACAGTAATTTTTTTAACTATTTATGTATTATGTTTATTATCTATGGTAGTTTTAAAAATGGATACTAAGTGTAAATACTCTTACTTTTAATGATTGTAAGCCTTCAATATATAAGTTTTGTATAGCCGATGCAGATTATTGTTTCATTTATTTTAATATAACAGCAATAGTGTGGACTTTTATTTTAAAATATTGCGATATTAGAGTAAGAATTGTCACTAGGTTTAGTTTATTTGCTGAAGGTGGTTTTATTTTTTATATTTGTTTCATTTGGTTTAAAATGTATACCTATAGTTTTTCTATGATAAATAACCCCCTCTAATTATATTATCTTAAGAAAGTTGATTTTTTTTTCTTAAGAGGTAATAAATCCAATAGATATATGGTGTGGTTATGTAAAACAGTATCAGAAATGAAATATCAGATTTGTAGATTTTAAGCTTTCTCATTAGGTCTGTTTTTACTTCAAACCCTCTGTGACATGTCTATACCACAAGCACATTTGAATACTTAGAAGTGGGCCATTTTATTATAGAATTACTATATACATTTATATATTAAACATTATACACTTAATGTTGAACCTAAGGTAGGTTTTTTATACAACAATTTTATTCTCAGTATTAGCACGATATACTGAAGCTACAATTGAAGTTCAATATCTCATTAATTTAATGGCATTTGTACAAATAAGGTAATTTTGAATATAACTTTTAACAAGGATTTCAGTCATTTTCATGTGAAATTCGATTAGTATTTCAGAATAAGCAAGTCGCTTCTAGTGCGTAAGGTGCGAAATGTTTTAGTTTCAATAAAGAAATTGTCGACAAAGATATTGTTTTATTTTAATTCTAATAACATTTTGTACATGATTTATTGTTAATCGTGACTTTTTTCGTCACGGAAACATGATTTGTATAGAAACACGCTTAAAATTTAAATTCTCGCGTAACTCTGCGCGTCTCTCTATAAAGGGGAGCTAAATATTTTATAGTAGTCATATAAAAAATTATATCACCTTAACCTAATTTCAGCCAATCCTACTGTAAGTAAACGACTACAAGAGAAAGTATACGTAGTATACAAATGCACATCTTTTGTCACTTTCTCAATCTGAAGAAATCAGTAGCAGGACCTTACGTTTTCTCCGAGGCACGGAGTTTTATAAAGGAGAATTTTTTGATAAAAAACCTCTGATCTCAAGATATACTGTGTGACGTTACAGAGCCCTTGATATGTAATTCCAACATATGTATCATCAAATTTATTAATCTAAAGATGAATATAAACATGAGTAAACTTATTTTAATATATTTTTATACTACATTTTAGTTTTATTTAAGATATTCACATTTCAATAATTAACATAAAAAGTTAAACTCTTATTTAATGAGAAAATTGAGGAAAAAAATAAAAATTAATGAATGATTTGTTTAATAACTTTAACTTCTGAAAACTGTAACAATTTTTATATCACAGCTTAATAATTACTATCAGTCCACTGTCCAATTATGTCAGAGTGACTTATGAAACAATACTAAAATTAAATCAAAATTGTCATCAAATATTAAATGATAACATTATAAATTACGTAATTAACATAAGTGACCTGCAGTGTTTAGTAAAAATAATCACAATTACTAATAATTATTTATAAATTGTAAAGCTTTAACAAAATAATACTTAAAGCAAAGAAAGTTTAGATGAAATGAAAATATAGTTAACAGCAAAAGTGATAAACTCATATAATACAAATACATTAGAAAATTTAGGTAGGTATTTTGAGAATTTGCAATCAATTATTGTATTGTATCAACAAATTATTTATTATATCTGGCAGCTCCAGCTTTTGCTAATTGATCAGCCATTTCATTGCCATGTATGCCACGGTGAGCTTCCACATAATTCCACTTGATTTGAATTTTATTTTGGACACTGTCGAGGTCTTTGAAGTCTATTTCATTTTTCACTGGCTCACCTGACTGGAGTTTCCAACCTTTTCTTTTCCAACCTAAAATCAGTAAAGTTTAACTAAAAAAATATTTTTTGTTTATTTCTAAAGATGCCATACCATATACCCAGTCAGTAAAAATTCATAATAGATAAAATTATTGATAAAACTTAAAAGTCAATATTTAATATTTTATATTTTGTTTCATTTTAAAGGTTTAAAGAAATTACCAGGCATCCATTTGGTCACAGAATTGATTAGAAACTTTGAATCAGTGTTAATGGCCAATTTTTTGACTCCTTGGTTAAGAGCTAGTTTAATTGCTCTAGTGGCAGCTTGTATTTCTCCACAATTGTTAGTAGCTCTGCCTGTAACTGGTTCACTAATGTTTAAGGAATGCCCATCACCCCAATAAACTCCTAATCCAGCCCTTGCACCACTTCGACCATTTGCAGAACACGCTCCGTCTGTATAAACCTGCACATAGCCATCATTGTCTATTGCAAAATTACCATTAGTGGTTGTACTACTATGTATTGCTTGAGGTTCTATTAATATTGATTTACGATCAGAAGTTCTAGTACTTTTTTTAATAATTTTATCAATACCTTTTTCGAATCCTTTCAATCTTTTTTCAATATCATCCATCTGTTTTATTAATATGGTATTGATTTCATCAGACTCATCAGAATCACTGAAACCACTTTCAGATTTCTTGTTTTTAGATTTAGATTTCTTATTTGCAACATGACTATTATCATTTTGATGGTTTGATGATGAGGAATAAGATCTCTTGAGGTTATTAGAAGTATTATTACCGAAACTCACTCGATTGCTTGAAGACTTAGCTTTTTGTGTTACTGAGCTACCACCTAGAGAAGTTATGAAATCCTGAGCGGCTACAATGTTTTCAAATTTTTTATATCTTGCTCCAGGAAAACCTTTCACTTGTGCTTCACAATCTGGCCAAGTCATAAAAATACCTGCCGTCCGTCCTTTTGCTACTGCGTAAAACGGCATCTTCGTAATATTTCCAAGTCTAATTAATGTTTTAATTGATCCTAATAGTCGTTGGTGTGTGAATACCTTCCATAACATTTATTTTTTATCAAACCAAACGGCCACAAAACTCATCTGTCAGTTGTCACCAATTATTTTCCAGCTGACAGCTGTTGAAATTGAATGTCAGTTCATCCTACAGAGTATATTGCTCCACTTAATAAAAACTTTTTAACAAAAAATAAAAACCAACTTCCAGGCACTAAAATGTAAAAAAAAAACTAAACGGAGGTTTTCATTAAGAATAGATACCTAATCAGATATTTTCGAAGTCGGTTTTTATTTTTTGTTAAAAAGTTTTTATTTTTCCATTTTTAGTGTAGACGTAATAAGCAGGTAATTTGTAAGAAGAAAGTTTTTTAATAACATATTCGATTAAACAATTTATTAAAAAATATATTTATTGTTGATTTTTTTAAAAAACCACTCGACCGATTTCGATAAAATTTATATGGGACCACATGGGAAGTATACCCATTGAAAAAAATATTTTCCAAATCAGTTCAGGTTCTTCCGAGTAATCGGTGAACATATATAAAAAAAAAGATTCCGACGAATTGAGAACCTCCTTTTTGGAATTGGAAGTCGGTTAAAAATTGATTCCTTGATTTTTTCCTTTGATTGATTTGATTTATTCCTCCTCCTAACTATACTTTCCGAAAATGAGATCTAATAAGTTATTAAATTTACAGTTATTTGAACTAAGAATTATTCTCTACACAGACTGAGATGATGTTCTTAAAACGCTATATGATGATGTTCTCCTGGCCGATTCCGGCTACGAATGCCAATCTCAACGATACTAGCCAACTGCGCAGGAGATATTATAGTGCACAAGTGTACGCGCAGACACAACGTGCACTCTCTATTCCTGTCACTCTCATAATCTGGTGGGACGACTATTCGATACGACTTGGGACCGTGATTTAAGGCGCAGGACCGACGGCTTTACGTTCTCTCCGAGGCACGGGGGTGAAACTCAACAACTAAACTTGGTCCGACCCGGGACTCGAACCCAGGCCCTCCGAGTGAGCAGCCGTACATGCTAGCCACTACACCACCGTGCCTCGGTGTAACTCGATAATACCAAATTATTTTATTTATTTATATATTTATTTTAGGGAAACAAACAGTACGATATTACATAAATAATTAATAATAATAGATAACACATAAACCAATGAAGTTTCCACAAATTAAACGATACAAATATGAAGCAGACCACAATGAAAATTATTGTTAGTATTGACTATTGTTTTCAAAAAAAAGTTTTGTTTTTTTTGTTATTTTTTTTTGTTGTCATTGGTTATGATTTACCTTATTACAACAGAAACTGAGCAATTCTTGTATTTATATAAACTTATTTTGTATATCTTGGAAACGGCTCTAACGAATTGGATCAAATTTTGTATTAGGATAAGGTTTTGTTTTCTAAATTTATCCATATAGGTGTCTCTTCTAAAAACTCCATTTTTATATCTTTTCCAAAAAATGCCCAGCGAAGCTCAGTCGCCCGAGTACTGACAAAATAAAACATCAGAAATTTAATACAATAATGTACTTTATTAGAAGTCTTAACTAGATCTGTCACCCTCTTGTTAACACATCAACTCTACGATTTCCCTAACATTTGTAAAAAATCTGATTTTTAGTATTCTAGCAACATAATAATATATGAACCGGACATACCTATACCGGAAAAATAGAAGGTTTAAAAACTAAGTAAGTATAATGTTACCATCATTTTTATTGGCTTCTGTTCACAATTTAACATATTTTTCTCAAATTAGAGGTGCAGTTAGGGTACTGCGTTAAAACTTAGAATATTTTTAAAAAAAGGTACTTATCACTCTGTAGTTATCTCTAATTTTGTCAAACTCCGAAATCTAAATTCTATGTTTTTAATACTTAAGAATACAACATTAAAATAAATCAAACATATCTTAACATAATGTCATTATGATAACCGCGCATAATACAATTTTCAAAAAGAATGTTACAACATAAAAATCTATGTATTAATAATTACATTATATTAATAATCTTAACTATTTCACATAGTCAAGTAAAATTGATTATTAAATTATAATTAACTATAGGTATACTTATAGGAAACATATGTTTATATAGACCAAAGTAAAAAAGAATATTACTTCACTAACTTTTATTTGGACACAAAAGGTAAAAAATCAAATGCAGCTTATTTACTAAAGTTTATAAACTGAATATCAAACATATTATATAATACAATAAACTCGTTAACGAATTAATAGTGTTTTATATTAATTTAAATCAAGGTTTTCAGTCACATGCAAACATACAAGATCATATTATAATATTAATGGCACTACTTACAATTAAAATGGCTTGGGGTTATACTTGGAAGATATTATTTTTATATGTAATATTGCAGACGAAATCCTTTATCAATAATAAAGGCAAAAAATATTATTCATATTGGAAGAACCATGAACAATTTTATAGGTCGAGTTCTTTTTTAATAAGTAAATTATACTTTTTTTTTTGACAAGATTAGATAGTGACCGTTAAACGTCTTTTACCAACCGTCTACAAAATAGATCTAAAATTGACTATTGCGCAATCAACGTCATTTTTCGAGATATTTCACGATAAATATATTATAACAAAAATTTGAAATCGCAATAGGAGATAGGTTAAAAAAGCTATTATGTTATGTTCGGGCAAATCTTGTTTGTCTAATCTATCTGCGAAAGATGTTAGATCTCCCGAAATAATTCCGAATATCGATAGTCATAGTCGAAACATCGATGAATAAGAGTGGACTTTACGAAATTATTTATAGTCTTAAAAATCACACGCGTATACAATATATTTTTATTTATTATTTGCATCAAAATAATGCTTGTATACGAATTAAATATTTAAAGTTCACCTTAAACATTAAAACAACCTACAGTGTATACAACATAACAATAAAATTTATTAAAATTGCGAACAAACAATTGTTTTGGTTAATAATTGGTAAATGTTAGTTCATTGTCGTTTGAAGTTTAAAGGTAGCATTTAAATGACTAGTTATTAGTAACGTAAGATTCGTGAAAGTGAAGAAAATTAGGCATTTTTTTATCAAATTACATACTCTATTAAATGAGGCACAATCTTTGTTTTAAATGTACAGTATACATCACGTCTTATATTAAAAACAATTTTAAAAGCGGTGATCATACTTTAGTGTAATAAAAAATCTATTAAAAAGTAAATAAAAAAACATTTATATCTAAATATATCTAAAAAACCAAACATACGATTAGTCAACATTTGTTAGGCAATTTGAACAACCCATTCTTTGGCTGCAGTTTTTTTGTGAAACTAAAGTATAAGAAAGGTAGACCGTCAATTAGCTCATATTCAGCACCCTGTAGACTAGACAAAACGTTAGATCTACCTAGCATTACCTACAAGCTTATATACAGCTGCCATTACTAAATTATTATTATCGGTATTAGAATTATTATTCATATCAAATTCCAAATTTAAATAGAAAATATTAAGAGCCCAAACGTACTTGGCGAGCTCGATCCGGGACCGTGGCATATATTTTTAATATGATGGTTGCGGTTGCGTGATGATCATAATCATGCGTGGTTTTAAATATAGCATAATGTAAAGTTCGCTACCAACCAACGGGTGACCGTACCGTCCCCAGCGAGTTAGTGTACCGTGTAACCAGCGGGTGACCATACTGTAACCAGCGGGCGACCGTACCGTAACCAGCGGGCGACCGTACCGTATCCAGCGGGCGACCGTACCGTATCCAGCGGGCGACCGTACCGTAACCAGCAGGCGACCGTACCGTAACCAGCGGGCGACCGAAGTCGCGGTCGCAATCGTCTAGTGCGTGGGCAGTATAATATTAATGATATTAACAGTTCTCATTCTGAGAAAAAAACGATTACTTTATAAAATTAATTGTACCACTTTATGATTGTAACTAATCTTAATAAATTATTGTGAGAACATTAATTTATTAGAAACAATATTTTGTTACGATTTTTCACTTTTATGATTAAAGCAAAAGAATTATCTGAGATTCTTCCTTCAGTAAGAGCTATGTGAATTCGTTAGTTTAATGTAAAATATAAATTTTGCTATGTAAAAACTACACGCAATATTTTATTGTATCTATATAATACTTGAATTATACTAGAATAATCGAATTAATTAACGCTATACGTAACGTTGATCGATACATTGATATCGAATTAATTTGACACTATTATTTTTTAAAAACTAGAACGTTTACGAAAACGTCTTATAAAAATATTTCGATATCTAAATACCTGTGCGTGTTTTTTTAATATTTTGATGTAAAAGCGTTTGGCGGTGTTTATTATTTATTCTATGTTTTTAATTTTTTTATTTAATTTTCTATATCCAAAATAGTTATTTGTGGATGGAGTGATGATATGAGTAATTCAGCGATGACGGATTATAACGAGGCCTCCTTTTTATGAATGTGAGATTTCATCTTTTGGTAAAGCAAAGTCGCATACCTATAGCTGTATGATAAGTATCTATACAAATAATTATTAATATTCTTGGAATGGATTAATATAATCACGATACTAGAATGAAAATTAGATAATTTTAATATTTGGAATAGATATTTCAAAAGAATTAAGATGCAACTTCCCTCTAGAAAAAGCGTAAAATGTTTAGCATTGTGATCAACGAATCTTTGTAGGAGCTATTTATATCGCGATCGCGTGTATAAGAGTCTGTTGAGACTTGAGACTCCCCGCTTTGCTTCTGATGTCTACAAAACATGAATCATGCATATAATATGATATGCTTAATACTACAGTATATAGTTAAAGTAACATTGTTTAAACGTCCGTAATACTAATAAAATGCTGAAACTTAAGCGATGTTAAAACACACCGTTCGCACTAATATAACCCAAATAATGCAAAAACTACTGCTACACTTTAACGTCCAAGTATCTACTGAACTACACTCAAGGCACGTATCGATTCTAGGATACGCTGAAAAAATATTTCTCTGAAAAAAACACAACAGTATTGATGCAAAAACGTCTCAATTTACACAATCTTCACTTTCCAAACACGAATCCTTTAGTTTATTCTAGAAAGTTCCCTATTCTACAACTTTTATTGGATTTCGATTTTAAATTGCACACAATCTTTGGTGTTTTAACATAACTAAATGGAGCATTCGTCGCTGTCACGCGCGTAGTCTTCGTCGTCTTCTTGACGACTGCTTTTATTTACTTTCCCTGATACTATACCAGTATTTACTTTACTAAATAAACTGCTACGGTTTAGTCTAGAAATTTCCCTTTGGGGACTCAATCTCTCTGCGACCGCTCTTTCATAATTGTCTGATATCTTGCTTACTCCGTTAACTGGACTGGTTGGTGTTTTTACTGAAGTTTTGTTAGGCGATGTTACAGTTTTCTTAACTTCTCCACTTTTGTCCAATCCGCTGGTAGCCGCTATATACGACGGCGGATCTTTCGCTTTCGCACCGCTTACATTGCTGTTAAGCAATTGCGAATAAAGGAAACTGTTGTTGCCAAATCCAAATTTATTGTCCATTTTTCCGTTCATCATCATTAAACTAACTGGCTTTTCGGGTGGGATGGGTTTCTCTTTTTTTTCTGGGTTTGGTTTGTTTTGGTTGACCCATCGGTCGTTATTACCAATGGAATATATTGAATTGAGGTTTACAAAGCCCGAGGGAGGTGCTGGTGTTCGACTTGCCACTACTCCTATAGGATCTTTGCGACACGCCATTGCCAAGGACCCCTCGCTTAGTGTCGATTCCTCCACACTAGAATCTTCTATTACATCGGTATTCGTTACATCGTCTAGATTTGGTGATAAACAATCTTCATCCGTCTCATCGTATGAGCTGAAATATTAATAGAAGAGTTATAACATTTTTCGTAAAAAATTGATCTTAATGGTTTATATGTACTGAATGCATCAGATTTGCAATATTGTATCAATTGTTAGTCGCTTCATGCCTGATAACTGCCAATATGGATATTATTTACAAACAAAAGCTGAATAAATATGTAAGAATAGAATATATTGATGAACGAAACCACTTTAATATTAATAGAATTTAATATTTTTGCATTTAACATTTTTTCGAACATGGATCTACATACTAAATTGTAGGTATTTTAAGGGTATTGTCTTTGTTTAATACGATTTGTTTAAAGCAGTTTCATCCTCGAGTAAATAAATGCGAAAATTAAAAAAATATATATCATAAATTATATTTACAAATGATATACAATGTTTCATCAGTAAGGCAGACTTCAAGCAAACTTCACAAATCTTATGACTTAGTACAAACATTTGTTGCGGTGTTTCGGATTGCAAGATTTTAATATTTCGACACCCGTATAGGAGTATCGCAAGCGATATATTTGCGAGCAAAATGCAAATTATTTTGTTGTCTCACGTCGCAACGTTATCACTTCATTCATATCAAGCTTACATATATCAATCAGGCTTCGAAATCAGAACCCATGAAAAATTGTATGGAAAGGAGATTTATTCCTTGCCACTTTTTAAAACAATATAAAATGTTAAAAAATATATAAAAATAAATGTTAGAAATTTTCTACTTTTTTTTATAATGGCAAGAGATAGTGCTTCTCGTGTAATTATGTAATCGTGATAGTTCTGATGACGATTAGCAATTTAACGTATCATTGTATTTTTTTTAATTTATATTTGTGCAAATTCAATGCAGCAAAAGTACACAAGACATACACTGCAACTGCAATACAACACTTTCTTACCCTAGCATAGCCAGTTCTGTCTTCCTCCCTGATGAAAGAAATTAGAACAATAATGAACCAAAACTAATGATGAGAACTACATGTTACATAATACATATAATAAATATAATGATAAATATAAACTATATATTGGAAAGCAAAACATAACTAAATAAATAGACAGCAATAGAATGAAGTAAAAAAGACGTTTACAATTTGGTATGAAGAACTTTAAGACTGGTATTTGTGTGCATTCAGAACATATTTTTATAGTGTATCGTCTGTTAATTTGTTTGTGTAGTACATTGTGCGGACTGTAGGGAAAGCGTCTAGAGCAACGTGCTTCACAATGCTCGTACTAACGGGTCTAGTGCGTAATAATACATCTACTTTACCAAATAAACATTATTTGTTTGACTTATGTCCTTGCAACTGATTACTCCTGCACAACTCAAAGAAACGATTAATATACTTCCTTTTCTCGGACTCTTTATATATTTTATATAATTGCCTGTTTTTAAAGAAAAAGATTATTATACAAAGTTTGTATGGAAGGTATCATGAGTGATATATGATTGCTTACATTTGGTCCTGCGCGTCGCTGCCACCTTCTTCGGCTACTAGCAGTTCGTACTCTTCTGCAGCGAATCTGTCCCATTCTGACATCTGTTACAGAGACAATAAAAATTAGGAAAGTGAGATTTTTGTCATTGTAAGCCTAACCTAAGGAGGTTTTAATTTACTAGTGCTACTATATGTTTTTTTAAAATGTGGACTTTGTTTCGTAGTCAGTATTAAGTGCATTTTTACTCGACAAAAATTGTATGATGACCGAAAACTTACTTATAAAGTTATGAACAAAAACAGTTTCAGTTACATTACATAATATTTTAACAATATGTTGATAAGAATAGAAGATTTTTTAAATCAATTGGTTCATCATTTCACGTAAAACGGATATGATGATTTGAGTAAAATATTATTGATACAGATTTCTTAATGTAAAAGAATGTATTACCTCTGAGTCTGAATCACGCTGCGTTGCAAACGGATCGCGCTGCTCGTGGTCGAGATATTTCTCTAAGTTGAAGAAGGTGTCGAAGAAGATGGGCGTGAGCTTGCACTTCTTTAAGTCTGTGAGCGTTATTTTACCATCTTCTGCTGGATGTACCATGTCTAACATCTGGAAATGAGACGTACGTAATATTTAATTATCATACAATACTGTGCACATGTCAAATTTGTTTTTAGTGTTCCCATCTCAAATGTCTACATGTCTGTACGTCGTGTGACAGTCGACGAATTTCCATAATCAACTGGGTGGAACTAGATGAAATTTGGTACATTTCTAAGTATAAAGAGTTATGTGAGTGATCCAACGAATGCTTATTTTAGGGTTAATTTTAGGCATCGTACTATAAAATAAAAATAAAAACTGAATCATCTACAACGCATCGTGTTGTAGAGGTACCGTATAAAAAATCGGCCATTGCGAGTCTGACGTGCGATCGTATTGTAGCATGAAACATGAATTTATGGTATATTACACATAACAAGTACCTAATACGTTAATATTAAAATAAAATGTATATTTATAACATTTTTAAGTACATACCTGACATAAGCAGTCGGTAAACGGCAACGTTTCAATGCCAATAGCCTCCATTCTCTGCATTTGTTCCTCATAGAAATATTCCAACTCATACATAGAAATAAAGCCGTCGCCATCCACGTCCATGCACCTGGAATTTATTAAATTATGGTTTATAGTGGCTTTATATTTTTACATTAAACTACTAATTAATCTTTAAATGATTAACTTCATAATTTTCATTCATATCTTAATTATCGTCTTTTCTTTGAAGATATCTACATTTAAACATGGGTTTTACTCATATAATTTTATATCTTTATTTTTTTATATAGCTTCCTTGATGGCGGGGGGAGTCCAACTCCTTGTCCCCCCTCCCGGCGTACTTTTATTTGTACTTTAAAGAAATGTTATTAAGTGAAAATTTATAAGCAATACTTCAAAAAATCACACGCTATAGCTCCAATAAGCTGTATGTACATCGTTAAAAACTCTTATTTTGATAACATAGGCATAATAAAAACTGTGTACATCTATTTTATGAAATTATAACAATAAGACGTGTAGAAATGTTTAATATCGATACTACTGGTTAGCCGTTAGGTTGTGGGTGCAAACCTTCTTGACCCGGTCTAGAAAACGAAAAGTTTGGAAATCCACCAGTTTTCTCAACCAGTTTCCTCTATCCGTACTAATATTATAAATGTGAAAGCAACTCTGTCTGTCTGTTACCTTTTCACGCTTAAGTCGCTGAATTTTGTATGAGAAGCGCATAGGGCAAAAATTGTATCATGGGACGGGAGAAGATTTTTTATTCATGCCCCGATTACCATATGAGCAGAGACGCGGGTAGTTACTCGTACGTCTATAGTTCTGTAATCTTTAAGCAGAGGAGCTCGTCTTTAGGGTTGAATTCAGGTCAAGAATCAATAGGGAACTTGATTGATGGTTCAATTAGGGAGATTAAATTTCATCCCAATTACTTAACTAATCAGTAACTTGAATACTGAGAATATAAAATCTTGATTGAAAATTTGTTCTCATTCAAAACAATGAAAAGAGAACACAAAAATTGCTTAAAATTTATAATATACTTTAAATTTGAACTTTGATCGCATGTGAATGTCGATTTATTTTACTCTTTTAATGCTGGCCGAGTTATAGGTATAACTTGACCAGCGCCATTGGTACATCATGAGATCGCGCAAAACGTAGAGACGACCTACATTTACTATTTCTATTAATTGATTTGTACAATAAAAATATCTTTACGCGAGATTAGACAGATTATATAGATAAAACTTGTAAATACTGTTAATAAGGTTTCTCTTACATCCCTTATATCTAAAAGATTTAATTTTTTCTATCTTATATAAATGTCTTATATGCTCCGCTGTCTTGCTCAAGCAAGCTCGAAAGTAGGATTAGAGATGAATGCGACAAAAACCAAAATCATGACAAACAGCATAGAACGGCCCATCAATGTAAAAGAAAAATATATAGAATATGTCCACAGTTACATCTACCTAGGCAAACAAATATCATTTTTGAAAACGCACAATGAAGATGAAATTGAAAGAAGAACAAACATAGCCTGGAAGAAATTTTGGTCACTCAAAGAAATTTTAAAAGGAGACTACTCGATAAACCTTAAGAAAACGGTACTAGACACCTGTATACTGCCTTGTCTACTGTATGGCTGCCAAACTTGGATATACACAACAAAAGCAAAACAAAGGATTACAACAACACAAAGAGCTATGCAGAGAAGTATCCTTAACATAAGAAAAATACAAAAAGTCAGGAGCAAAGTAATCAGACAGAAAACAAAGATAACAGATGCCCTCACACAAGCTCTAAAATTGAAATGGCAGTGGGCAGGTCATGTATCGAGATACACAGACAACAGGTGGACAATTAATACTACAAGGTGGGAAGGGCCAATTGGCAAAAGAAGGGTAGGGAGACCGAAAAGACAATGGGCTGACGATATAACCGAATTAATAGGAAAAGACTGGCAAACTATCGGCAAGGACAGAAATAAGTGGAAACGACTGGAGGAGGCCTTCACCTGAGGAGGGGTTCTTATCCAATAGCAAAAACTAACTATTACTAACATTTAGACAATAAGCAAAACATTAATAACTAACTAAACACTAACAAACAAATACCAACATTTGAAATGGAAATTAAGGATAAGGAAATACAGGCTTTTTTATTTTTTATTTTTATTTATTTTATTATATAAATGTCTTACATTTTACTTAATTTGTATTTTACTATAATAGAATATTTAGTAATTAAAACTCTGTTACATTCCTAAAAAAAATAACAAGTTGTTAAAAAATATTTTTTTATAGCTCTCACTATAGGTCTATTAGGTCATTATGTGCGAATACATTTCCGCAGTGTCCACATCATAACATAACTATGGTAAACGTTACGTGACCAGCTAATATGGAACTTTCTCGAGCTGAGCGCTTCCATGCATGCGACGTTTTTGTAATTTCACCACTGTTTTACTTGATAAGCGATCGGATTACGTTAAATGAAGCCATATATTGTTTAGTGGCACGAATATTTATAATTCATGGGACAACGCCTCTACACGCATTATTTGCTTCATGGAAAGGATATATAGTATATAGCACAATATTTAGTTTTAAATACTATTATTTATCTATAAACTCGAAAGGCAAAAGTGATTGACTGATCTATCAACACACCCTTAAGGCTAGAAAATTGAAATTTCGCACACGTATTCCTTTTATCACGAAGCCATCCACTAAAGAAAGATTTTTCAAAATTCCACCTCCAAGGGGGTGAAATAGAGGATAAAAGTTTGTATGTAACTTTTTATTCCTTGGACAGATTTGCATGAAATTTCGTATGAATTGAGTACGGCAAAAATGATGAGATATGTATTTCAGAGTTTTCTAATATTTAAACCCTAAGAGGGTGAAAGTTTTTATGAAACCCACTTTTTAGAGATTTTTGTAGTTTTAGCGCTAGCGAAGCCGCGGGTTCTGCTAGAGTAAGTAATAAAACTAAATTCCATTATTTTCTATATTTAAATGTATATAATGTAGTTACATTTATAATGCATATTTAAAACTTATAATTTCTATGTCAAATAGATATTTTCACTCAGTGAGAGTAAGGATAGTATCGCTCCTAGTGTATGATTCTATCAGAACTCAACATTGTATTGTTAATTTAAGTCCCAGTGTCAATGCTGGGAATGCGCAATTGTGTGATTGATCTCAATTATGGCAATTTAGTAGGGAAGATCTTAGGATAACTTTTATCTTTAGTCACTTTATTGTATGGTATAGATAAAATATAGTGAGAATTCATCTTGTTTCTCGCTGTACCCCCGCATTTAATACTGTTATATAAGTAGGGATAAAGTGTGGCATTCAATCAAACTAGATCCGAGAATCAGACGTGACCCGACTTGAACTAATTCTGCGTAGTCCAAGCGTTAGACAGACCTTAAACAGACCCATAAACCCAAGTCAGGTCTGAGATCCGTTCGAATTTCTGACACACCCGTTCGTCGCTTCCATAAACGTACGAATAACTCGTGATCAACAATGGATGATGCGCCCGATTATATCATGAATGGCAGCTTTAACACTATAATAAAGTATCATGACTCACCTAAACCAGTACTCAATAGCGGTGGGATGAGTCTTGTCCTCTTCAGCAAGTAGGAACCACACGAACTCAGTATACGACATTCTTGGTTCACCATCTGGAGTCAATCTGTTCTGGTTGCCACGGGTCACGCAACCAGATAACACCCGCTCTATCATGCGGCTTGATAATGCTGAAAAGAAAAGCGGCAATAGATTTTAGTTAATAATTTACGAATTTTTCATCTATCTATAAAAACGTCCACTGTAATACAGTAGGTAATAGTAGTGTAATACAGTAGGTAAGAGGTGAATATTTTAATTATATGTAGTTAGCGTTATCCGAAATATGTGGAATAGCGAAAATGTTATAAGTATTTACTGTGCCAATTTTGATTGAAATTGACCGTCAGTGTCTCACGATTTCTTATAAATTCTATGAGTACCCATTATAAAACATTTTGTAAACCTAAAAGTGTCTGTCCATAGACAGCGGGAGTAAGTTTATTTAGTGCATGTTGCAACTATTTCATAATAATTGAGTGTGCGAATGTGAAGATCGTGCTGAGAAAATGCTAGCGCAATGGTCCGGATTTAACACTTAAGAAAGACAATAGCAAAAGGTCTATATACTGATTTGAATAGCTTGACACTTTAGTTTCCTATTGGACTCTAATTACATATTATTTAAATAAACCACATTTATTAGGTGATTGTTTATACCCATGATATTAGCTACATAAATCTAATCTAGTATACTTTAATCTATTTTTCGGCTAATATAAGTCTTAAAATAGTTTTTATAAAAATTGGTGAAATGCGAGTTCAATTCGTGTGAAAGTATATATATTCAGTACATCATTAAGTATGATTTTATAAAAATAGCTGTAAGAAAAATTAAAAGAAGAAATTTTTCATGAGTATCTCTCAAAAAAAAGTCAACAATTTCATTGAATTCAATATTAAACATTGTTTCCATATTGTGCATAGCTAAACTGCTGAACTAAAAACCAATATTCCGAAAAGCTACGTACGTCCTCCTGACTGGCAGAGATATATATCTAAAGCTATTCATCTTTCTTATATATTTAAACAAACAATTCTTGTATATATATATATATATATATATATATATATATATATATATATATATATATATATAATCTGAATCTCGGAAACGGCTCCAACGATTTTTATGAAATTTTGTACGCTGGGGGTTTCGGAGGCGGTAAATCGATCTAGATTAGTCTTATGTCTGAGAAAACGCGTGTTTTCGAGTTTTCATGCAGTTTTCTTAATGAATGATATGCACGCTCGACTGTATGCATCGTGGTCAAGCGGCCAAGGCGCAAGATCAACAATCACAGGTTGGAATCTCGGTCGCATACAAAGTTTTTACTTTTTAATATTTATTCAAGTTTTTAGTTTTTTTTTTAAAGTAAATTGTACTTTTGGCTAAAAACTCCGAGCGAAGCTCAGTGGCCCAGGTACTAATATTTAACTATAACATTTCAATATGCTACTTACCGTGGTCATTATGCCTTGCGAGGTCATGTCTATCAATAAACAGATCGTGGTCTTTATCTAACTCCCAAAACTTGCAGTAAATGACGTAGAAGTGCTCGTAACTGGAAAAAACGAAAATAGCCATAAGCATGTAACATACTTGCTAAAATAAAAATTCTAACCATAAACGATAACTCACCTAAAGTATTGTGTAACTTGATTGATATCTTCCTCGTCTTCTAAAAGCTGTATCACTTGTAGTAAATTGGATCTTCTGAGCTCCGGTATAGATATCCTTCCGGACCACGAACGGTTAACACAGTAGAATATTCTAGCGATCACCTATAATGTAACGCAACCATACTATTAAAAATAGGTTTTTGTAACTTGTATATAAGAATTAAGTAATAATTATGGAACTATTGAATTTTTTTTACATTTAAAAGAGAAAGCTACATGTACTAATATTATAAATGATAGAATGTACTGTCTGTTCGTCAGCTTTTTACGTCTTTCCCGCTGAACAGATTTCGGATATTTGGCAATAAAATAGATTGCATAGGTACGGCCATACTATTTTCATTGCCTTGGCTTATAATGTGTGCGGAGCCGCGGGATAAACAAACTACGCGGAAATAATGGAGAATTTTATAATATGTACTTATTCAGTTATATGGTTTTTTTTGGAGGATTTATTGACTATTATTAAGATTCGTAAGTATAGTTAGATTTTTACTAACTTATATTTTATATGTTATTATATTTACTATTGCTTTATAATTTTTAAATATGTTATTTTTAATATGAAACAGAATAAAGAATAAACAGATTAGTTAGAGTAGTTACGATGTTACTGTTCAAGGCCGGGGCAACTCTTTTTACCTTAGGTTTAGAAATTTTCTAGGCATATTGTCTCTAAGGTCTGGAAAGTAATCTAGTTTCGATACCCAAAGTTTGACAGAACAGCTATGTCAAGGTTAGGTTAACGTTAATCGCGTAAAATTGTAGAGTAGTTATTGCATTTTGAGAGGGTAGAAATACCTGTTATAGTTATAAAGTCAACTTGGGCTCAATTTTGTTTATGTTATTTAAACTTGTAATAAATCATTAATAATAAATAATATACTTTCACATAAAAACATACTTTGAAAAATAAAACTTTGTGTACATAAAAAAAGTTGTTATTAAAAATGATATATTCGAGTCTCAATTGATTTTATTGCAAATATAACTTCATCGAACGTGAGTTTGCTGGCCTACCTGCCCTTCTTTACACGGTACATTTAATGTTTGTGGTACAGTAAATAATTTATAGCTAAACAGTAATACCGACTCTTAAATCACTTTTATATAAATTTTCCTCCCTTGATAAACTTATTCATTAAAAAATATAAAAATCAGTTCATAATTGACGAAGATATTGAGTAATATACACAGACGTGCCTTGAAGGAAGCGAAAACGTGTCTCTAGTGTGTTATACATACGTAGGTATATGTCAATACTTACAGTATGAACATAACGTGAGTGAAATTCAGTGGCTTCTTTCAGGAACGATAATCCAGGGTGTGTGTCGACAACGTCTTGCACTAGTGGGACAAAGTCTTCCGGGGTTAGTGTAGCATTTTTGCCTCGCGTGAGAATGTAAACAAATCTGGATGCTTGGTCGTGGCACTGTGATGTCATCCTGATTAAAACATAGAATATATTATAAAAGTTAGTAACATAAATATTAAACTATTAAAACTTATTTTTGTGATTATATAATCACTTTCTTTAAAGTTATATATTTTAAAGCGTTTCACTTGTAATAACTGCCTTGTTGGTCTAGTGGTTAGCATGTACGGCTGCAGATCTATGGGCCTGGGTTCGAGTCCAGTCTTGGGTGGATTATAATTATTGAGCTTTTCTTTTTAAAAATCCCAGTAAAACCCGGAGTTGCAAAATTGGCGGTGCTACGCTGTCGTGCCACGAAGAGCACGTAAATCCTTCGGTCCCGCTCCTGGTCCCTCACAGGTCGAGTCGAATTGTATTTCCCCCACAGTTTACAGTGAAGGAATAGACAATGCACTTGTGTCTTACGAACTTGAGTATTACAATATCTCTTAAACACTTGTCTCAGCCGTTGCCGAAATCGGTCAGATGGACATTATTTTACTAATTTTTAATAATACAAAATGCTATGCGAAATCAAAATTATACATAATTTAAAATTCATCACGCAATTTAGTATCGTGGCAATCAACTCGTGATCTCTTGGTAATTGAGATTCATATAATAACATTTTGGTGAATTTCGCGGTAGATAGATGAAAAGAGGCCTAGTTGCGGTAAGCCGCAATCGTTTATGACCTTTTTAATTATAGTAAGTAGTAAATAAAGAAATAAAATATTTACGATCGTCTGACGTTGTAAGATTAATAGATTCAAGATCGTATGAGATCTGTCTTTATGTTTTAGCCTTAAATGTACATAATAGAAACCTCCGCATACAATTATTACAATGTCCAATTCCGTAAGATAAAATGTACTAGAATTTTACAATTCAAACATTATGATGCTCGTAGCTTACATTTTTCATTTTGTTTTTTTTTTATTTCTTTTTTTTTCAATTATATTTTGAAACCGATGTCCAAATCACCTTCAAATACACACAACACTGATATTATTGTTTTTTTTAGTTTATAAATGAGTATGTCTGTTTTTTACTTATTCACGCTGTAACAGCTCAATAGATTTAAAGTGATAAGAAAGTGATAGCTTATATCTTTTGTATACACGAGCAAGGCAAAAACTAGTTGTAAATGCCCCGAAGCTATGTAAGTTATAAGATACTATACTTACTCTCTCCAAAAATCAATGAACTTGTGTCCATCGACTGCCGCATTGAGGTTCTGTTGTGTTGCCAGGAACAATGGCATCTTCCAGTAGAGTGGACATTCGCACGCTTTCACGATATGCTTGAAGCTTTCTCTCGGCACCTGGGAATTTGAATAATTTTCTATGTTAAATACTTATTAGAAATTATAGTTAATTAATTATATTACTTATTTGCAATGATTAGTTTTAAAAAGAAATAAATGTAATTATAAATAATTGAACTATTTAATTTAATTGTGGGACAACTATTATAAATTCGAAAGTTTGTATATGTGCGTATGTTTGTTACTCCTCAAGCTGAAAAGCTGAAACGACTGGACAAATTTATATGAGATTTAGACGTAAATTGAGATGAATTATAATCTGTGTACTTTTCTTCCAAAGGCAAATCACTAGTTATAAGACACTTGTAGAAAAAGTAGGAACTTACAGAGGGAATTCATTAGTAATTTTTAATACAAGTATATATATATATATATATATATATATATATATATATATATATATTTTAAATTAATAACAATATTTTGCACAAGTGTAATATTCCTCGTATTCAAAATGTTATTAGAAACAGTAGTTACAATGGCACTAGAAGTTAAGTTCTATTTCATTATCGCTTGCTAGCGTTATTAAAATAGGTACTATACCTTTAGTTATACCTCAAGTTATGACGAGTAATTTTATGAGTGAAGTTTCCAAGAAATGAAATGAAGTTTCTAGTGTTGATAATTTGCTTTCGAAGTTGAAAATTGCTTAAACGAGCACACGAAATTCAAAGATTCCGAATTTTGTGTGAATGAGGTCTTCCTTTTGAGTTAAATTTATTATTAAAAGGTGTGAATATGAACGATAACTATTAACAACAATGCAATATTTTAATAAAATAAAAACTAATAAACCATTAGGTATATAATGTTTTTGAATTTTTAGTCTTGGTGGTCCTCCATTAGCATTAAGATTTTTTGGGACTGGGTAGGTACTTAGATTTTCCTAATAGAAATGTCTAATATGTTTTTACCCGACTCTGGACTCAATCCCAGGATCTCAAAGTCTTCTGCAGTCTGAGCTAGGTTAGACCAACTAGGAACAACTATGTAGAAATTAATTCATAGAAAATACACTAAGATATATTATCATACAGGATATTGGCTCCAATTTCATTCGTACTAGTAACAGAAGCAGTGAGGTGTGCTGAGCTGTCAGTGTACGTGGTCACGCGCGTCCCGCGGGTGGCCTGTCCGACTTCCTCTATTACGGAATATGGGTCGTTGACACGTGAGGACTGAGGAGTAAATAGTGTTATCATGATAAGCAGACCTGTCTCTCATTGTTTTGACATTTATTTGTATTGTAGATTACATTTGTAAGGCGTAATAACGTAAATTCAAAAACTTAAGACCCTTTTGATTTATATTCTATAGTAATGCACTCATCAAATCTAATCGAGACCCACATCGAAGATTTGATATGTATATAATGTCATCCAATTCAATGCGACAATAAGAAGCAGAAATCGATTTCTTTTTGATTACAATCTAAGATAGTTAATAGACACGTAATGTTAATAAAAGTGTGTTAAAACGGACTGAATTATGGCTATAAAAATTATAATATTACGTTGGTTTCCAGTATAAAAGCATTTACCAAGTTTTTATTGCAAAAAGTTGATATTGTTCTATAGGATATAAGTGAAGCGAGGGCTCTAAATGACACCTTTATTATTTATATGTACGATTATTTTTCTTGTTTTGTATTGTTTGTGATTTTTGTTAACAAAAACAAATTGTTATGACATAATAGTTCTACTTTTAAATTACTTTTTAAGGCAATTTTTACGTAGGATAAAATTGGGTTAAGGATTAGAGTCAGTCGTACAATTGAGGTTATCCTAATCTATACATATAATAAAATTCTGAGTCAAATCTGTACATTAAATATTTTTTAGAAAATCTTATTAAAATAAATATTATTATCGATACAGAGGCCGAAACTATAGTTTTTAGAATTTTTGTCTGTCTATCTGTTACCGCATCTCCGAAAAACTACTGGACGGATTTTGATGAAATTTGGTGTGGTCATAGCTGATTATTCGGGTCAACATATAAGATACTTTTTACCGCGGAAAAATATCTCATTTCTGAGAAAAAATACAAAAACTGTAATTAAGAGTATACTAATATGTAATTAAAAGTATACTAATAGTTTTATAATATTTAGCTAAGCTACATTTTGCTGATAGTTAATCGACTGTAGCCTCATTCATACAAACCACGTAGCTATAATCCAATCAACTAACGCGAGTTCTAATCGCATCACAGAACAACATTGTATTGTTGAAAGTGTATTGCTTTGATTCGTTTTATATTGTTTTTTTGCCTTTTCTAATATAAATAGAGTTTGTAGCCACATTGAAAAGTGAACAGATGTTTAATATTAAAAATCCTATATATTTATATCCAGATTTCTGAAGGGTTAATTTGTTTGAATACACTAATCTCTGGAAATTCAAATCCGATTTTGATTGCGTATTGCATTTTATAGCATACCTATTTTTTGAGGTAGGTTATAGACTTTTTAGCATTAAGCTACCTTCAGGAGAGCTGCAATCACACAAAAATATATTAAGCAGGCAGAATCGCAGGTAAAAATGTTCTATTCTTAATTTAATATTAAAAGCAAACTTATAGACACACAACAAGGGCCTGGGCGACCGAGCTTCTCTTGACGTGTTTTTTTGTAAAATCGTGTTTTTTCGGAAATGTTTCGTTTTTTTTTTCAGAAAAGATACTTATATGTATAGACAAACTTAAAAAGCAAAACCTTACCTAAATACAAAATGTGAATTAAATCGTTTGAGCCTCTTCTGAGATACGCGAAATAAATATATATTATAATATACGAGAATTTCTCACTTAATATAAATAAGAATTGTATGGAAGAAGTGATTTTGCAAATGACTGGAATAAAATGTTAAAAATGCATAATCGCACTACTTTATAAGGGCATCTCGACGTTTGTGAGACAAACTATGTATATATGACAAAGAAACTGAAGACATCCTGCTTAGTCAATTAGAAATAGACTATGTTATCTGTACACTATGTTACAATTTATATCTTTGTTTAAGTATAAAATCCTATAAACACCAATACCGTACGGTATTGGTATTTACGTTGGTGTCAACGCATAGTAAACAATTAAAATTATTTTTTTATTAATTTTTTGCTTGAAACACAACGAATGTTGTAACCTCCGATACAAAAAGAGGGGTGTTATAAGTTTAATGTGTGGTAGTGGATCTGTGTGTCTGTCTGTGGCATCGTAAAGCCCAAACGGCTGAACCGATTTCTATATAGATTTTTTTGTTTGAAAGGTAACTTAATCGAGAGTTTTCTTAGCTATAAATCAAGAAAAGCTCTTTTAGCTCTTTTTTATACGGTAAATGGATATGAACAACTTCCACAGATCTAATTCATTGGAAACTTATCATTCCTCTACTTTAATGACGTTGCAATGGCCTTTGCCTGATGCTGCAGCGTCACCTGGAATCTGCAAGATACTAAACTCCTTACTAAAATATTATGGTATCGTGTTTAGGCTCATTGAAATTGCCTCAATGAATGAAGTGGTTTGGTTTTTTTTCAATTTTTAATTTAAGTTCATGTTGTTTAAAAATCAGATTCTAACTATACACTTGCTCTATTTATGAATGAATAGAACGCATGTTGAGAATATATCCTATATGTAGTAGGTATATAGCCATATTTTAAATATATGTTTTCGATAAAGATAATTAATATCTATTGTCTATATGTTAATTTCATAATGTTCTGCTATAAATGGTTTACAAAATATAAATGTCTATGGTACATTGAGTTTCAAAGAACGGCCAGCCTAATTCAGTATTGCAGTAATTTTGAATATGGACTTTAAATGTACAATATACCTATATGAAATTAATTTCTATTTTCAATTAATATTAATATTGAATGCAGATATCGATACTACCGATTTAACTTTATTTATAAATAGCATTTCCCGCGGCTCCGCCCGCGTTCAGATGACCAAAAATCAAATTCTTAGGTTTTACATATTAGTATACTCTTACATTGCAGTTTTTGTATTTTTTCTCAAAAATGAGATATTTTCCCGCGGTAAAAAGTATCCTATATGTTGATCCGGATAACCAGCTATCACCATACCAAATTTCATTAAAATCCCTCCAGTTGTTTTTCTGTGATGCGGTAACAGAGAGACAGACAGACAGACAAAAATTTTAAAAACTATAGATCCGGCCTCTGTATCGATAATATTGTTTATTTCAATAAGATTTTCCAAAACATATCTAATGTACAGATTCGGCTTAGTTACAATTTTATTATATGTACTCGTATAGATGAGTTTAATTTTATTTATGTTTACAACCATACACAGCTGAAAATTTTCACATTCTTAGCTCGAATACCATCGTCTAGTTTCCGTAGCTTGCGTAACAGGCATCGGTCTGTCAAAGTAGCCCATTCGCTATAAATAGATATGACCCGCTTCCCGGTCACTCACCTTATGGCTGGAAAGACAGACAAATGCAAGACTCAAGGGCGGATATTAGAAAAGTGACCTCGATATAGTTACGCAAAACCACGGCTAATTGAGATATTAGCGGTTTTTGTCAGTCCGTCTTACAAAAGTCATATTGAGTAATTATTGATGAAGTCATACAGTCTCAGAGTGAATGAAGTGAACACTTTTCTTTAAAACATATTTTTATTATTAAATAAATAGCCGTTCAAATGAGAACAGCGTAATATAAAGATTACTTGCAATTTAAGCATGTTGAAGACTGAACCAATTAATTAACTAGTAAAATGCATCTTTGTAAATATCTATATACCTACATTAATCATTTATCACTAATTCTACATAATTTCTAAAGTAAAATCATCAATGAAAGCAGAATTGTCTAACTTTGTAGTTAATGCGAATTACATGAGGTTTTGCTCATCGTACGTGAGTAGATTTAAAGTTTAATCTTTGTTAAGAGTAGAAAAGGCCGGTGCTTTACATAATATATGGGGAGAAATCTGTTAACGAGATGCTGAAT